AGCACAGGATGCTATTGGTGTCTTTTGTGACCTCTCAAAAGCATTTGATTGCGTTGACCACGAGACACTTTTGCTGAAATTAGATCACTACGGGATAAGAAACTCTGCGCTCCGTCTTATGAGATCTTATTTAGAAGAGAGACAGTTAAAGGTTCATGTTAACGGTATTAACTCGCAGGGCTCTGGGATGAATATGGGCGTTCCTCAAGGTTCAATATTGGGTCCCTTTCTCTTTTTAGTCTATATAAATGATTTGCCATTTATATTTAAAAATGAACCACGAATGGTGCTTTTTGCAGATGATACATCATTAATTTTTAAAATAGATCGACGTACAAATAATCTTGACGACGTAAACAGCTCCATTCTTCAAGTGCATAATTGGTTCACCATTAATAATCTAGCACTTAATGAGAAAAAAACAAAATGTATTAAATTCAGTTTACCAAACGTGCGTAGTAACGATAGTGATATTGTTTGAACGGTCAAAAGTTAGAATTTGTCGACGAGACAGTATTTTTAGGCATTACGTTAGACAATAGGCTACAATGGGGTCCGCATATAAAGGCGCTTTCGGGGAGATTGAGCTCAGCTGCTTTTGCAGTTAGACAGATTAGACAGCTCACGGACGTAGATACAGCTAGGCTTGTCTATTTTAGTTATTTCCACAGCATTATGTCGTACGGCATTTTGTTGTGGGGTCGAGCTGCAGAAATAGAATCAATATTTATTCTACAAAAGCGGGCTATCCGAGCAATATATAACTTACGCCGTTGCGAATCGCTGAGAGAATTGTTTAAAACGATAAATATTTTAACGGTGCCCTGTCAATATATATATGAAAATATAATGTATGTAAGGAAAAATAGGCAATTGTTTGAAAAAGAAGCGATAGACACAATTTTAATACTAGAGGCAAAAATAAGTTAGCTATACCGCAATTCAGACTGTCCAAAGTACAGAAATCCTTTATGGGGTTAGGTATTAAATGCTATAATAAAATACCAAATAGCATACTAGATCTCAGTGAAAGTAAATTTAAAACATATATTAAGCGCGAATTATGTAATCAAGCCTACTACACACTGACAGATTATCTTGAAGATAAGAATGCTTGGCAGCATGTTGGTTCGGCTCCACTGGACAATACTCAAATGTAGTCAGTAGCTAAATTCCAATAGTAGGTATTTTAATACAAAATTTAACACTTTAATTCTAATGTAGACAATCTAGTTTCCTTATGGCATCGAGCATTTCTTTATTGAAACAAAGAGTTTCCTTTTCTTGTATAGAAGCACTAATTCTATGGATTGTCAGTATGCATATGTGAGCACCATGTTGGACTTTAAGTTAATTTTTATTTATTTATTTTTTTAATTTTTGTAAGTTATTAGTATAATGCGTCAAGCGTGTCTTTGCATTGTTCTTACATATGCGTACAGTATTGAAATATGTATCAGAGACATTGTAGAACATACTTTTTTTAAAAAGAGTAACGAATGGAGTTTCTTGCTCGTTCTTCTCCATTCGAATCTACTTTTTGGAATGAGCACCTAGCTTCACCTAGTTTCACTGACGGACTGACTGACAGACTATTATTTATTTTGTATTTGTTGACGTTTCAAAAGCACCAAACTATGGTTTAATTGAAATAAATGCTTTGACTTTGACTTTGACTTTGACTTTGACCCAAGTCATTCGCTCAAACCTATAAACTTACAGCTACATTTCTCATTTAAACTTGTCTATTGTTGTATCTTAATAAACAAGAACGTAAACACAGACAGACGTCTTAGGCTATTGTGTATATGTCCGGGCCAGGATCGACGACAGGATCCCGACTATCCCGTTGTCTGGATATTTGCATTGCCCGTACAAGCGGTATAAGTGTTTATATTTCTCGTGAAGGGGTTGGGTTTAGCGACATTTTAGGGTGCTTCTGACTTTAAACTAACCTATTCATATTATAATGTTACATATTAATGTGATTATAGTCTGAGATTTTGTCTAATAACTAAAGTCGAATGTTTGGACTAGTTTTTAAGTAAATTTCGGGCGTGATGGAGTGTGAAATTTGGCTTAGAGAAAGTTTGCGTGCCGTGGGAGATATCTGAAGTTTAGCAAGAGTCTAAGCCTCAGTTTTCTCTTTTATTTATAGAAAAAGAATATAGGTTTCTACAGTCTTACGAGTGCGTTTAAATTTATATAACGAAAGTAATTAAAGTGAATGTAATTGAATGAATCACGTTGCATATTTTCAAATCTTTTAAACTGCTGTATCATCAAAAATACGTTCGTAACATAAAACAAATCGTTCGAGCACAGTAACACCAACTTGCATATTAAATGAAACACTTTAACCTTAAAGTATAGAATTACTAAAACCTCTCAGCAGTGCTTAGTATTCAGAAACCATTACGGGCTCACTTGAAAAACGTTTTTAATCTATGCTAAGTACGTATCTATCAGCGACCTACTGCGAAAGTGACACGAGATTCGTGTGAATAGGTTTACGGTTCACTGCCCACCCTCATTGGACCCGTCTCACCTTTACAAACATATACTTACTTATGTAGGCAGAAAAATGTAAGTTTAACACTTAAATTTATTGAAGCGTGGTGTAAAAGTTTCACCTTTGCATGTGTTGTGGGCGTTCAAAGAGCTGGTGGCCATTAGATCTATACTTACGTGGTCAGGAAGTATTACCTATTAGGGTTCTGGGAAGTATCAGTAGGACTATAAAGTTTCACCACAGATAAGGCTCAATAGGTCTGATGCCGATAAGAGGCCGCGGAGAACGTAAAAGGTTACCGCGGCTCCAGCTCGAAGTGCAGGAGAAGGAACGGGGTGGTTTTTAGTCAGCAAGAGTCTGACACTCCCTCTTACCTCACTCAGGCTGGAGAAGTCATTGGATGATTTTCTGCCCTCAACAAAAAGGACTATAAAGTTTGGAATTGTGCCTGGTATATAGAAATAGTTATCAATTGTATGCTAATGGACCTATGTCCAGTAGTGGCTAGAAAACCCACACAGCCATAGAAATCTTATTTTAACAACAAATCAAGCCTCATAACATGGGGTTTTAACACAAAGCTTCTTTCTTTAATTCCTTCGTATTTAATATCAAGTTATCTTGACACATTCAAGTATCACCAACCTCATATTATATTGAGCACCTAGTTTCTAAAGTTTAACTTTAAAAGCAGCTAATTTATATAGAACCGCTCCCAGGTGCCTCACTTCTACGACGAACTTTATAAATGAAGATAGACGAACTCCACGTAACATTGGCTGAGGCTACTACACTAAGACCTTTAAACTGTCAAACACCAAGCGGTCACCGGTGACCGCGACCTATTGTTCTTTAATTGTGTCTATAAAACCGGTACTCGACGAGTTAATATCTTATACTACCAATTTTCTTCTACAAAACATTTTGATAAATGGTCGTGTCAATATGTCCCTCTGTTAACCTGTCTAGGCAAAAGGATGACTATCCAATGAGACCTGTCTAATGGATGGATAACTACATCTAGTAAAATATGTCCTAATGTTTTTAGCCATGTGTGATTAACTTGGATTATGATTGCCTCATTAGTCTTAGGGAAGTTTACTCTAGCTAATAGTGGCTTTAATTTACGTTAGAAAAAGGGCCGGGAACATATTTGCGTCTCCTCTGGTATAGCGGGTGTAAGGGCAGTGCTGATAACTCTCAATTATTACTCTATACAAAAGCACTCTCGCTTTAAGTCTTCAGAGAATATAGAAGATTATATTTTGTACTTATTTCTATTAATTTTGCATTTTCTTTGTCCGCAGACGTACTAGTCCCGCTTACCAACCTCCGCGAGTCCTCTGAGTGAGTGAAGCCGTGTGCGCCGCCGCTGTGGACAAAACGCGCGCGCAATATATGGACTGCGCCTGCGCGCTCTGTACACACATTCACGAAAAGTAAGTATATTCAACAAACCTGATATTAATGTGTATCATTGGTGGCCGAGAGATTAAGAATTAAGAGCGTGAGGCTCAGGAATGATGTCCAGGCCGAGTGAAGTATTATTTCTTGTACTTAATTAACTACTAAAATTCGACAGTCATCAAGATATAATAACTTAAAAATTTGATAATCTACTAGCACATCTGATAGTCATAACATACTAAGTTTTAATAAAGTATGTTACCTTCCATATTTTGTTTGTATTTACTTCAACAAACAACATCCCACTTATGAACAAAGCTTCGAGCCAATATTTGCACCGCGAAGCACTTGAAACGCCCCCTACCACTTTCAATACTCTCGTCTACAGGGTGTTAAAACTTTAATAAGCAAGTGAGCCTTTGATCTGCACTATGCAAGCGTGTCAGATATCGCTTCAAAAATCAATTATTAACATCCCCATATTGCGAAAATGCTTTATAATATGTATTGCAAGGGGACTGTATTTCCAATCGATTCCTTTCACCAATTTGTCCTCCCCTTCTGTAAAAACATATTTGTGCTTTAAAGCGCTCCGCTCCCTAGAGGTACTTACAGCCTAAAAGAATTAAAGAATTCGCTGCCCCGTGCTCGGTGAAAAGGGTATGACATGCAGCTTTGGGTACAGCCATAAATTATTAACGCGTAATTACACAGCATTCGCATTTTCACTGTTTTACGTAAAAATAGGGAAAATATTCAATTTCTACAGTTACGTAGTTTATCTCTCTTGAGTTGTCCTTAGCATGTCTACTTAAGTAAGTGTGTTGTTGTTCAGCGGTGCTAGCCAAATTATAATTCTACAAACGATATCGTTAGTAGAAAAGTTCTCTCATTCTCAGAAAGGTTTCTTGGATCGGACAGTGTTACTAACACTGTGATTCTCACGTCGACATCTTTCCTATTCCGTTCGACTAGTATTTGTACTATTTATCCTGTATTTTTAAGTTTAGTTAATCCCATGCGTCCATGAAAAACAGTTACAGAATAAGGAGTATGTATTGTCTCCAGGTAGGGGTGGTCCATGCCCCACGCGGCGCTACCTGCCTCCGCCATGTCGGCCCCGCCGCGCCACCCACACTTCTACACCGTTGAGGTCGGCGACACACGCTTCACCATACTCAAGCGCTACCAGAACTTGAAGCCCATCGGATCCGGAGCACAGGGAATAGTATGGTAAGTCTCTTTCACACCCATCACCCCTCATATAAGTCTTTCTCTTTTAGATTTACTTAGTCTGGACTAACTTCTTTCTCCTGACCTTTTTCAAATTTGGTAGAGGTCGGTGGTAAATCTTAACCAGGTTCGAATAAATGTCACTATTTCAAATGGAACAACTGCGATCGGCAGACCCGTTGAGGGTTGTAGAAGGCATTCTACAACCCTCAACGGTTGACACCACGTAAGAATTAATGAGGATATTGTTTTAATAGTACATTATTCTACACAAAGAACAAGTTTTAATCAGAACAACAGTAATAAAGTTATCACTATTCTTAGTTTATCAAAGATTTCCAAACAGAAACGTATCTACCTACAAAACCTACACGGCGGGTTGACATTTCTAAATAATTCACAGCTGAAAGCTGTGTGAAACATTCTCAGTGGCGGTTTTAGTATTCTACTAAATTATACGGATGAACTGTCCTTTCGAATCTCAAGTTAATTCCTCAAGAAATCTTGGTAAGATTGGCAGTTGTAGTAAAGTTGGGAAATTCGAGAAAATTTCGCCAACATGTACCAAGCACGAGGGGTCTAAGTTTTCTAATTAAAGGGCTAAACATCAGTCATACTCGTGAACTGACAACTTCACGGTATAATTATTTCATTAACTCTCCTCCCTCACACTTACGCAACATAATATGATGTTTGCGCACTCTCAATTATTGCTAATTAATTACACATTTGTATAAATTACTCAAATACTCTGGCTTCATATTATCATTGTATATTACCTTCGAATACGGGATTTCTCTTACTCCTTTGCTTTGTTCTACAAACATGAGCATGTAAATAAATTATGTATTAATAAGTATATATACGCATTATCTCTTTATTTTACAGAAAAAATGAAATTGATAGAAAACATTTTCGCTTAACTATTATTGGAATACAAAATTCATTGCATTATAATTATTTATGAATTGAAAACACTTTTTGAGACAGGTACACGAAAAGGTCCTTTAACTAACACACCCGCCATAGTATAAAGAACATTATACTATGCACCCGCGATTCGTGTAAATACACGTCTAGTTACTGCATCTGTATTCGCACGCACACGCATGCGTTGCACACCACATATAAAGTAATAGAATTACGTAGTTATTGCACTGTAGTGGCTTATCGATGTGGGCATAGCCAGTTACTCATTGTCATTTTTCTTCCTCAGCTTTAAATATCTTTCTTCTCTCTTCCATTATTTTGGCCTGAACTTATAAAGCAATACAACTTTCACCTTGATTTAAGCAATGTGAAATGTATATGGCTTCCTGTTTTCTGTGCCCAAACAGAAATGTCCAGCGCCCCAACCTGGCTCCGCCCACAGTCACCAATATAATATGTTTCTTTTATAGCTGATCCAGTAGTGTACGTTAGCCGTTAGAGATGGTTCAGTTTTACTCAGTCACACTCGGTGACAGTGTGTTCACGATACCGACGCGGTACACTGAGCTAGTGAGCCGCGGCGCGGGCGCGCAAGGGATGGTGTGGTAAGACCGGGCGCCATCTTGCAAACATGGCCGCCGCTTTCAATGTTTTCGTCTGCTTTGGTTTTAGGATTAATTACTAATATTGACGATTCCAGCTGTGTATTGTGCTGTACCTGGCCGAGAGTCGTGTTCTTTCAAAATTCAGATTATCACCACCAACATCCAGAAATTGCCACGGTCTTTGTTAAATTGTTTAGATTCTATGTGGTCAGACAACGAGAAACCACCGTCTACAGTTTAATTTATGGAAATCCCAGAACATTAGATAAATTATAACCGTTCTAGATTAACGACTTTAGTTTCCAGATAGATGTCATGTCTAGTTTGTTTAGGTTGTGACGAACAGCGTTACTGGAGCGGTAAACTCCTAAGTTCACTCAGCAATCGTCACAAATCAAATAATCTCGAATCATTTCAAATTAAAGGAGGTATTTGAATAAATTCATTCGATAAACCCTGAATAGAAAATGTGATTCACTTGAATTATTCATTTTCACGGATTCATTTGTATATTTTGATCATTTTGGTGGTTTGGTTTTGTGTTTTTGGTCGTTTCACGGGGCGGGTTCATCACTTCATTATGGCAAATAAAATTCCAATTCGGTCTCTTAAAAGATTTTACTTGGAAAAAGACTGAATTAATAATTATTAACAACTTTGCGTATTGGATGATACTAATATTAACTCTGTGTTTATCCATCTAAATATCAGTTGAAACATTGTGTCTAACTGCGAGACTAACATGGCGGTTAGGACTAACAAACAATAACCGAAGTGACGTTACTTGCCTGGCTTCATGCATCATGGGTTGTTCAGATTCTGGCTTATATTCTCAATGTTTGGTTTCCATGACACAAAAGACGACATTTTCTTTACTTCGCAATCCATTGCTTGCTCGCTTTACGGAATTGTTATATTATTTGGTTCCAGCGCCGCATATGACACGGTGACACAACAGAATGTCGCCATCAAGAAGCTATCTCGGCCATTTCAAAATGTGACACACGCGAAGCGGGCGTACCGCGAATTCAAACTTATGAAACTCGTCAATCATAAAAATGTAAGTAAAATAGACTCTCTCATTCTACTTCCAGGACTTTGATATCTTATCTTAGCTTCTAGACTTTTCCTAGTATACGCAACAAGCCTAGGAATATAATAAAATGATGGCAATGGCAAAAGAAAACCATACAATTCTTTGCCATTTGACTCGAAATCCTAATGAAATTCCGCATACCTAACTATTTAGTTTATTATATTCAATCCACACTTCATATCTGGTGACTGCTTCACTGCTCTCAATAAATCTTTTCACTTGTACATTTACAGATAATCGGTCTACTAAATGCGTTCACGCCGCAAAAGAGCCTGGAAGAGTTCCAGGACGTATACCTGGTGATGGAGCTGATGGACGCCAACCTCTGCCAGGTGATACAGATGGACCTGGACCACGAGAGGATGAGCTACCTCCTCTACCAGATGCTCTGCGGCATCAAGCATTTGCATCTCGCTGGAATTATACATCGGGTGAGTGGTTTATAATATGATATTTAATTACCTTTTAATCATTTTGACTTATTAATATCTTAGCAGTGTCTCTTGCGAGTACCGTAGTACTCCACATCTTTGGTCTCAAGTACAGCGGTCATAATTCTGTGTAACTATAATATAAATTCTACAATTCGGTCGGTGAGTGCAATTGGCTTCATTGAGACACGAAACTCGACCATAATTGGCACTTCTACCAAAGTATCCTCGACGAAAGACTAGAGGGTCACTATTAGTATTTTTTCGAAGTGTTACTTAATAAATACTGATTAATTTGTTGTATATTTCAGGATCTAAAGCCGTCCAACATAGTAGTGAAGAGTGACTGCACGCTGAAGATCTTGGACTTTGGCCTGGCGCGCACCGCCGGCACCACCTTCATGATGACGCCCTACGTCGTCACCAGATACTACCGCGCACCTGAGGTAACATACTCATCTTTATTTAGACCTTACATTACATCATACACTATTACAAACCAACCGTCCGTGAGTGGTCACTATTGGTTTGACATAATAGCCATTATATTTCTATAAAATTGACACCCAATAATTTTTGGGAACAAATTCACCGCAAATAACGAAACACAGCAACATTTCTTAACCATTGTCGTTTAAAATCATCATTTCTGATGTTGTGGGGTGTTTATAGGCAGTTTGGGCAGCGCCCAACAGGTTACTCATCTGCCTTAGCTATCTATGCCATAAAAAATAATTAGGATATTTATATGACTGATTGTTTTACCTGCAGGTGATCCTGGGCATGGGTTACACGGAGAACGTGGACATCTGGTCGGTGGGCTGCATCATGGGAGAGATGATCCGCGGCGGGGTCCTCTTCCCCGGCACCGACCACATCGACCAGTGGAACAAGATCATTGGTCAGTTCATGCAGCCAATTTATTATCATCCTTTCTTCTAAACTTTCTGTCATTCTATTTTTAAGGTTTTCTGTAATGATTTTTCTCTCAATTGGTGTTCTAGTAAAATGTCAATACCTTATCGTAAACGTTGGGGTCGTCCCCAAGTTTCATCTAATATCGCCGCTGCCAAATATTAATTTATTTAGTTTTTGACAGAAAATATCTCATCGTGGCATTAGTCTACTTGTGCCATTATCGTATGATATTCAACTACAGTTGTATACTGTGACGAAATAAATAGATGTTTGATCAATTATACTTATTTAATTATTATTTCCATATATTTATTTTAAATTCTCTATAAAATACATTTTTAAATACTATTTACAAAAACATAAAAATAATATTTAAAAATATAAAAAATAGGAGCCGACCAGTAGCGGGAGCATGGTCCAAGCTACCGGTGGTTAGGGCTCCAGAGACAGAAACCTCCTCACGATACGTGCCGTTTCAAGGAGCACTGCCTTCTGTATCAGGCCCTTGACCCAACTACCTAACGCTAGCCTCCTAAGGTGGTTGTCGAGGCTATTAGGGATTAACCCATTGGCCGATACGACTATCGGCACAATGATAGCCGAATCTACATTCCACATGTCGACAACCTCGTGAGCCAAATCAAGATATTTGATTTGTTTATCTTTTTCAGCTTTCACGAGGTTCTCATCATGAGGAATAGTGATATCGATTATCATCGTGCGGCGCAGTTGTCGGTCTATCACCACTATATCAGGTTTGTTGGCTATAATAGTCCTGTCAGTGATGATAGACCGGTCCCAGTACAACGTGATATGGTCATTTTCCAGAACTGGGTCGGGCACATACTTGTAGTACGGTACCTCAGACTCAACAAGTCGATAGTGCAAAGCAAGTTGCTGATGGATAATCTTGGCTACTTGATTATGCCTATGCAAATATTCACTGTTAGCCAAACGACCACAACCAGAAATAATATGTCTAATGGATTCACCAGGACTATGACATGCCCGACATATGTCAACCGTCCCATCCTTAATTATATATTTCCGGTAGTTATTCGTAAGGATAACTTCGTCCATAATTGCACAGACAAATCCTTCAGTTTCTCCAAAGAGATTACTGAATCGTAGCCAAGACACGGACGCTAGAAAATCTACACTGGGCCCATGAAGGGCCCGGAAGAAGCGTCCGTGGAGCTCCTTGCTATGCCATACCTCCTTGCGATCATTGACGCTCAGTACCACAGGTTTGCGCCAGTTCTCTTTTGCCAAGGATAGCGGAGTGAATCCATTGTCCACCGCTGCTACTTCTCGATGCATACCCTCGTTGACTTTTAGGAAATATTCCCTGAGGCTGCACACCTCACGGTTGTGAAGGGTCTTAGCATTTAATAAGCCTCGACCACCACACTTCCGTGGGATGTACAACCTCATGACCGACGAACGAGGGTGATGCATGCGATTTGCAGTCAGCAGGGTCCGGACTCGTCTATCCAGGGTGTCAAGTTCAGTCTGTGTCCACTTGAGTATACCAAAAGAATACATTAGGACTGGCATGACCCAACCGTTAAAGGCTCGCACCTTGTTTCCGCCTGATAAGGAACTTTTCAGTACCTTATTCAGGCGGCCAAAGAAGCGCTCCTGTAACGATTGCTTCATGTCCGGTCCATTAATGCCTAATCCTTCTGACATACCCAGGTACTTGTATGTATCGTTTGCGGAGAGTGATCTCAGTTTTGTGAAATCTGAGAGTTCTAGTCCCTCAGATTCCACAATCCCTCCTCGCTTTACATGCATGACCGCACACTTGTCTACTCCAAACTCCATTCTGATGGAACTACTAAATTTTTCAGTTATATTCAGTAGTTCCATCAGTTGTTTCTTGTTTGGAGCAAACAACTTGAGGTCATCCATGTAAAGTAAGTGGGATATAACTAGACCCCTTCTCCGCAAAGGATAGCCTAGCCCTGAATCCTCCAGTAGAGTACTTAGAGGATTCAAGGCCAAGCAGAACCATAGTGGGCTCAGGCTGTCACCCTGGAATATTCCTCGTACTATCCTTACAGGTTCTTCATTCCCTTGGATTTGTCTACATCCCGGATAGCAAAGCACGGTGCTCCACTGCCTCATACATGACTCCAAGAAGGCGCGTAAACTTGCATGTATTTTATACAACTCCAGCACCTTCAGGAGCCATGTATGTGGCACAGAATCATATGCTTTTTTATAGTCTATCCAGCATGTAGACAAATCTTTTCGGGACCGACGAACCTGTTGGCTAACAACCATATCAATGAGGAGTAGCTCCTTAGTTCCACGAGACCCCTCCCTACATCCATTTTGAGATACAGACATGATGGAATTTTGTTCAATATGTTTTGTTATTTTTGACCTCAAAATGGATGTAAGAAGTTTATAGACCGTTGGTAAACATGTGATTGGTCTATAATTTTTGGGCTCAGTGGAACTACCTGATTTATGGAGCAGGTGGGTAACTCCTGTTGTTAGAAATTGTGGTAACGACCCAGTTTCCAAAGCTGCCTGGAAGTGTAATGCTAAGCGAACGTGTGAACTCTTGAACCATTTAATCCAGAAATTGTGCAGTCCGTCCGGCCCCGGTGATTTCCAATTCGGAACCGAACAGGCTGCACTGGCTACATCAGAGGAGGTGATTTCTACCTCCTCCATCTCTGGTATAGTCTCACACCTTCGCTTAACATCAAACATCCAGTCACCTTCTGTGTGGCTAACAGGTACCGACCAGATGTTGCGCCAAAATGTGCTAGTGGCATCATCATCCGGTCGCCGCCCGTCAACCACATCTTGGTTGGATCGTTCCCAATCTCTGTATACCCACCTCTGATCTCTTTGGAACATGCGATTCTGAGTATAGCGCTCCACTCTTTTTTTGTAACGTCTAATACGGTTTGCCCATGCATAAACTTTCTGCTTCAGGAAGTCGATGCGCTCTGTAACACGTGACAGGTATTCATGAGGACTGGTTTCAGTCCCCACAAATGCACGTCTTACAAAGCGCATCACTCTAGGGCGAGTATTGCCCTCCCTGAAGCAGGATAGTTTGCCAATGAGTACCCTGGCCTCACTGATACGACGCTCTATCCTGTACTGCCAGGCAGGTACTGCTGGTTTTGGTCGGACTGCTGCGTCAAGATTTGGGAATCTGAAATTATTATTATTATTATATCTGTTTCGCAGAGCAACTGGGCACTCCGTCGGCGGCGTTCATGGCGCGGCTGCAGCCGACAGTGCGCAACTACGTGGAGAACCGGCCGCGGTACACCGGCTACAGCTTCGAGAGACTCTTCCCCGACATACTCTTCCCCAGCGACAGCAACGAGCACAACCGGCTCAAGGTAACTCTTTCCTCCGACACACACCACTCCACCACTTACACTCGCTGCTTCTCAGGTACATTTCTATTCAAAACTATAGTCTTCTCTCTATAAATAGGATATTTTAGAATATCATTCCATGACCTTCTTTTATCGGATGATTTACACAGGGAATAGTTAAACTTATTGAAATAAAAATGGGTAAATAAACCAATTTGAGAGTTCATCCACATGCCTTTTTCCTGCTCTGAACATAAAAATTCAGTTATAGCATGGAAATAATTGAGACGGAACAACATAACACCTCTGCATTATTTATATTGTGTAATATATTATGTATATTGTGTACCCCGCGACATATTGCTAGTCGAACTCTTTCCTTTGGTTGCGCAGGCGTCGCAGGCGCGGGACTTGCTCTCGCGTATGCTGGTCATTGACCCCGAGCGTCGCATCTCTGTGGACGAGGCTCTGCTGCATCCCTACATCAACGTTTGGTACGACGAGGGAGAGGTCAACGCGGTGAGTCACTGTTTATGGATGATATGATTTAAAATAAAAAAAATATATCTTTGGCATAATGGGCCGACTTGACTGTAGTAATTCCACGTTCGTGTGTTGCAGCCGGCGCCGGCGTCGTACGACCACTCGGTGGACGAGCGCGAGCACACGGTGGAGCAGTGGAAGCAGCTCATCTACCAGGAGGTCGTCGAGTACTCCGCGCCGCCGCCGCCCGCCGCGCTCGCCGCGCCGCCCGACCACGCCCAGCCCGCGCTCACCACATAGGTACCCGCCGCGGCTACATAACTGTTTCATACTAATAATATTCTTCTAATACAATTTTTTAAGAACCAGTCACAAATCATAGCTAAATGATAATTTATACTAATTTTTTGAAGTCAAATAAGCATTGCAAATAACGGAGTCGTAATATCTCCGTATCCCGATTTCCGGAACTTTACCAAGTTGTGACGTCAGCTGATCTGTAAATAAAGATAACTACAGCTTGTAATTGTAACATTTCCAGGCTCCAGCAGAGCTGACCGCCGAGATCTAATCGAGGAACACAGTGCAAGGACAATTCCCATCGATACAGTTGTGACGTTGTGTTCCGGGCGATACTGCGGCCGCCATGGCCCGCGGCGGGATCAGACTGCCAGTGATCATTACATGTTACAATAACTAACTGATGTATATATTTATCGTGGAATGTTATGTGCAATACTCGACGGAATGATACAGTGCAAACTATAGGGCAAGTATTTGACTCGTTCATTGTGAATGATATAACTTAGGCAGCATAGCAGAGATAACCCGTAGCGTAGCTGAAGTAATTTGTACTCTATTATGTACTGGTTTGTTTGTATTATTTTAAAACCCGTTATGGACTTGTCTATTTGTAGTTTCTTCCTGTTTCTTATGATATGAATAGAGTAAGCTGTAATTATAATTTACCAGTATGGGATGCTTCTAAGATAAGCTCAACAGTTTGAATGCTCGGTTCCACGCGCCCCATCCGTGTCTCACGACTTTGGACAATTCATTTGCATTAAGGAGTGCCTTTTGCGAATTGCAAATACAAAAAGTTGGTGATTTTCTGCGTATGGACTGACTTTGATATGTTTGAATATTTTTGTAATGAAATACATTAATGGATAAATTACTTAAGTGGTTCCCTGTTTGAAGATGCAATATTTTATCTATGAATTTCTGTTTATGTTTTAATATAATGTGTATGACTTATCCATAATTATTAATGATAAAGAGTTGAGCTTATACTATTTTATTGTAATATATTATGTTCAATTTAATTGTGCAATTATTAATTTTTATTATATTTTAATATTATTATAATTAAATGATCACTATTGCAAATTTCTTTTCGTATCTCAATTTGCCAATAACTCAAAGAATTTCCAAACGAATTATAAGTACAGTGCCATTCACATCGTTATTGCCATAGGTATACTCCTGGACTGTTGTACTCTTGTACTCATGTACTACTGTACTCGAGTACTGTAATGACTTTGTAAGAATTTGCAATTGTGAAACAAATAGTGAGTGATTCATGATCGTGTATTATATAATTTGTTTCTTAGCCATACACATCGTCTGATAGTTACTCGGGATTTTGTGATGTTCATAGATTTTTCGTAAGTAGGTCCTAGTTACGTTGTTGATAATATTGTATTGAGTGTACGAGAGTAGATCATTAAGTACATTTCTACCTAATTAGTCTCATATAGGTCACCTCACACGTTGCTGGAGAGAACTGAAACCGAAATACGTAATACACATCGAGTTCTCGTAGACATAGTTATAACACGATATACAAGTACACAGCCGGGCGCGCCGGTATGTATTGAGTTGTTACTCCCACTTCGCGGGAATAGTGAATAAATACGTTGATACTTGCCTCGAAACGTTCGCTTTGTAGAAACATATACGTCTCGTTAGGGTTTAATGATGAAGTCACGGAATAGTTCAGACCTCTCATACATACATATAGGTTCCACTGGGACAGCCATTTGTTACGATGCTGCGAAGTGAACGTGATTAGTTCCCTCTTCATGAAAGGCTTAACGTGTGAGGGATTCGTAGGTTATTGTTTGAAACCTCACTAGGTGATATAATTATAAATAAGGATAATAAAGAATGATGATAGTCAAACGGATGGTGTCAGCAAATAGCACAATTTATTAGCTATAGAACAGGACGGTAACATGTTTGTGATGCGCGCATCATTTTATATAATCGTTAAAATTGATAGTACGAAAGCAATAATACATCTTTTTCTATTCGCCTTCGTGAGCGGCCATACGTCACTGTTCATTATTTTAATTAGTTCGCCTCGAAACATATCACGGACAACAGATTTTATTTTTGACATTTTCATGAATGATGCATTGGTCGGTCGTTCGTTTCAAATGTTGCTTTACTTTTGTTCCATAACGTTGTAAGGATTCATGGATAATAAGAGTTAAATAAAATATATTTTTCGTCGCTATTGTCAATTTTGCCACTCTCGTGTATGTGTAACTACTTCCATGCAATATACGTCTATGATGATTGTAATTTGTTATTGTAATCGTGAGAACGGGAGTTTGTACATTCTATTGAAGTTTGTTTTCCTTGACAATGGTAGACAAAAGAAACACTTCTTGGCAAAAATATTGAGAATAAATGATGGTTTTGAAAATAAAAAAATAAAATAAAGAAATTATAATAAATTTGCGAGAGTATACAATAATATTAAATATTTTAGGTGTAGTGTAAAGTGTGTAAATATTAACACTTAATATGTATGGAACGAAAGTGAAGGAACCACGCTATGTAACCTTAGATCATTCTGTTTATCACTATAGTAAATAAAAACCACAACTGTACGTCCAAATTGTCCATTTATATGTTAATGTACCTATTACAAATTACAATAATATAATCATTAGAATGTATTTTAGTACACTTGGTAAACAAGGTGTTTAGGTAGTCGCCACGTTGAGACGCGAGCCGCGCGGCTTGTAGCGATATACATACTTGAGTTAAACACTTCAATGACTATCTAAAAACAACTTATTTTTACTGTACACGTAAGTTATTTCATATTTTAACTGAATAAAATCGAAATGGTTATTATATACAGTGTGTTTGATTTATTATATTCATGGGTGTAAGGATAAACGAGTAGACGTGATGGTAAGCAATCATTAACACCTCATAACATCTGCAATACTAGACTAGCTACATGCACCTTTTCGTTCGTTTTTGGCGGACTTCAGTAACCTCACTCTCATGTGAAACAACGCTACTGTTGGCGCATTAGTATGGCCATCGACCATAGAGGCGGCGACGCGCGGGACGGGGTATAAAAACCCACGGCCGCGCAAGCGCCGCGCTTCTTCTTCATCGACACACGCCAGCCATAGCATTCGGGCATTTCTTTGTATCGGTGTGAGCCGGTCTTGATTCTGATATGTAGAAATTAAACCTATTAATTGTGCAGTCTTCTGTTTTAATTTGAAATAACCCGACAGAGCTACGACAATTGGTCCTTCGGTTTTTTATAAGGCCGCTGTATCATTCCTTCCGAGCCGACCCATTTGACGGGGCGTGGCTCTCCCGCGTGATTTATTCACTTACTAGGGATATTTGAGTTTAATAAACAAACAAATGATTAATTAAAAGTACTTACCTACTATCTAATTTACGGTCGTAGCGTAGTCCCGCTATCGTAATAACTTTAAATCTGCTACTAGTTCAGAAAGGTGTTTATAGGTACCCTCACCCAATAGATATGGGAACCACCATAAATTACCAAGTTTAGCTTATATCTCTCGTCATACTATCAAGCGGAAAAAGTATGAGAGTGGACACTCATAACGACCCCAAATGACCAGATAAAGGTTGCACGGAACCGTTAAATGCCTTTGATGGAGAATTGCTGAACCAAGACCGATATTTTTACCTTATGAATACTCGTGAATCGAAAGTCGCGTATTCCTTTGGAAAGTATAATGAGTTAAACACATAGGTATGTACATACATAACATAACATCACGCCTTTTATCCCCGAAGGGGTAGGCAGAGGTGCACACCGAGGTAAAACATCATTTTTCATTATTTATGTTATAGAAAGATAGAAAGAAAGAAAAACCGTTTATTACGCCACGACACACATGCAGACAACAATACAATAAACATAAAAATATTATTATGAGGCTTTGCTACGCAAAAGCCCAGAGCTCAGCTTGGTGCTGTAGCCCAGGCACGAAGACTCGAGTCCGCGCCGCAAGCCGCGAAATGCGCGTGCCCATTAGAGTGAAGAGTTAGGAATGCACAACGCATTTTCTTATTACTTTATTTTTTCTGCCGAATAATTTTCGTTTTCAGTAAAGAGGATTTTGTATAAGTTGAACTTTGTGTTATGTACAAATAAAATGAAAACTCACGCACAGAAAAATATCGCACTTCTAATTTTATTCCTTTTTCATAACGTCTATAAAAATATTTTTTGTGGTGAATATTTTTTCATTAATATCTGTGGAATTATCACAAATGTATTTCTGAACGCAGCATACCACGTCAGTTAACTCGACACATGTCATGTAAAGCAAAACAAAATGTCGCCCAGCCAGTTGTCAAACAAAAGTGTATTGAAGTGGTCGTTCTTTGTACGCGTATAGAAAAAAACGTAAATAATAATAGTGCATAAAATATTATGAACTTAAAAAATATTCTATCTTAATTTTAAGCAGTACTTAATTAAATTAACTGTTATATAGTCAAACAAAAGATATAAAAATGTCGGAAAAAGAAAAATCTAAAGTGAATGTCCAAGCAAAACACATTCCCAAAGATGCTCAAGTTATAATGTCGATTATGAAGGAGGTCGGCATTACAGACTATGAGCCTAGAGTCGTGAACCAGCTCCTAGAGTTCACTTACCGATATGTTACATCTGTGTTGGATGATGCTCGGGTATTTGCTACCCACGCCAAGAAGAAAACTATAGATCTAGACGATGTTCGACTAGCAGTACAGATGCAATTGGACAAGTCGTTTACGAGCCCTCCTCCGAGAGAGGTATTGCTGGAGATATCGAGAGTGAAGAATGTTAATCCTCTGCCAATGATCAAGCCACACTGTGGACTGCGGTTGCCGCCAGATCGGTGGGTTACTTTCTATTAGATAAACACATTATTATTATATATTGTATATTGGTCTCATATATAAATACAGCTTGGGAAAAAGAGTTCGGAATAATTGAGGTAGCTATTATCGCACCTTTGGCAACTTGGTACACTATAACTGAATCGGTTTTGATATCTATTATTTTTATCGTGTTTAAAAAGAGGAGGTATCAGACGATTCTTTATTTGTGGGATATGATCCGAACTGGGTGATTTAGTCCAAGTGAATATCTATATATATAAAAGAAAGTCGTGTTAGTTACACTATTTATAACTCAAGAATGGCTAAATCGATTTGGATGAAAATTGGTGGGGAGGTAGCTTAGAACCAGGAGACGGACATAGGATACTTTTTACCCAATTCTTTTACCGAAAATCAAGAACGGGAACGGGAAATATCGGGATTGCGCGTACGAAGTCGCGGGCAGAAGCTAGTTAGTTCTAGATGTCACCAAGTCAAACTCTCTTTTGCCAAGCTATACATGCCTTTAGTCCCATGGCGGCTGTCAAACATTAGAGTTTTAACATAATAGATCTGTTTACTAATAAAGTAATCTGTTATATTTAAAAAAAAACATAACATTTCTATATTCCAGTTATTGCCTGTCTGCCTGCAACTACCGCCTCAAGCCAGCTGTCAAGAAGGCTGCGCCCAAGCCCACCATCTCAGCCGTACCTTCATTGAAGACAGTTACTACTTCCAAGCCCCCGCCCACTCAAAATGTGGTGGTAAAGAGACCTCCGGGTGCTATTGTCAATGTGGCTACCCCCAAACCTACTGTAGTTCCTAAACCTGTCCTCAAATTCACATCTGGTACCAAGGTAAGTTAATATTCAGTCAATGTCCAACATAAAGTTCATTTGAAGTTGTTACACTAACCTAACACACATCTTCTAAAAGACTGATCAATACAAAAGTCAAATAATAACGATTATCCTGTTCAAAATGCATTTTTTCGTAATGGAATATAATTACCTACTTAATTAATTACATTATAATTATGATTTCACGGTTTTTTAAGATTTGGACAGTTTACTAATTTCTTAATTATTATGTTTTTCGACTTACTCGTGTAATTAATTTTTGAGGAACTCGACTAGTTGCAATCCATGCTAGAAGCTCTTATTCATGAGCAGCATGCCGCGACACGCGACACACACACGGTGACTGTCGCGCTGCTACTGATTGCTGATGCTATACGAATTTTTTATAATAAATAAATTTTCCGTTTTTTCCCAGGTTGTAGCAAAGCCAGCAGTGAGAGTAACAGCCGGCCCATCAGCACACACATCTGTCAAGATGGAGATGGATGAAGGACCTCAAAAGCGAAAGCGTGAAGATGATGATTACGAAACCTAATTTAAGTTTTATCTCTATCTATTAAGTTTCATTTTTAAGTGTTTTTATTATCAATGACAGTATAGTGGTACATTATTTTATTTTGTGTTTTATTTACTGTGGTTTGTAAAAAGTTATGTCAGATCAAGATATCAAATGGATTCTTAGTATTATGTACTAACGACCATTTATTTTTTGACACAAAACGGTACATTTGTTTATTTAGATTCAGTCAGGCATCTAGTAGCTATATCCTAAATTCTAGAACCTGCAAACACAATTTTTGTGCCCACAAAAAGGTAACATTAATAACAGCACAAAAATGAAGGTACTTAAAGATTTTTCTACTGTACTTCGTCAAAAAATAACGAGTTATGTATGACGCTGTGTCGGCAATATTGGTCTCGTAGACCACTCGAGCCGTCCGAATAGTTGTCCCATAGATTCGACTAGTCAAATTTCCGTGTGGTTTCTGAAAACGGGACATTTTTGCGTCTCTCGTCTCATTTCGGGGACAAGTGGACTCATAATTATAAAAGGGACAGTCCTGTTCAAAACGGGATGTCGGGTCATCCAACGTATCGGGTTGTATTACAGCAGGGCTGTCCAAACAAAGGCCCGCGGGCCGCATGCGGCCCACGGCTTGTTTTAGTGTGGCCCGCGACGCACAATTTCATCTCAACATCTTCATCTTATGTGCAACAACAATAATAAAATTTAGTGCATGATTTGTATGCAAGTTTAATCTGTGAGTAAAGAATACAATGTTAAATGTCAATATATAACTGAAAATATGTTTCTGGCCCTCCAGCTTTTGTAAGAAATTTAATTAGCCCGCGAGGGTATATAGTTTGGACAGCCCTGTATTACAGTATTACCCATCTTTTTATTGAACATGATATTCTTTAGTATGCAGATGCTAAATAATCCATGTGGTACTTGGAAAGTCACAAATTATTACATATACATATTATTATACTTAGCTACAATATGTGAGACCACCAGAACAATATTGAATCACTGATAAACTGGGGAATGACCCGACATGAGCATATTTTGAGGTCACAGAAGATGATGGAATAGAAAGGATGGATGAAGATTTTTGAAAGACTAATCTCGCGCGATTTGTCCTGCGCTGCTCGGCCTTTTGATCGCAGCGTGATGGTATATAGCTTACACTCTTCATCGATAAATGGCCTATACAACACTAAAATAATTATTTAATTCGATCAAGTAGGTAGGTAGTACCGGAGATTAGCGCGTTCATGTAAACAAACTCGTCAGCTTTATAAATTAGTACCTACAGATATTTAGAAAAGTGACATGACATGGGTGGACGTCGCTAGGGTCGAGCCTTTTTTTTTAAGGGGGGAAAATCATTGAATGTCTGCTCCAGCCTGGGTGAGGCGGAAGGGAGTGTCAGACTCTTACTGATTAAAAACTACCCCGTTCCTTCTTATGCGCTTCGAGCCGGAGTCCCGGTAACCCGTTGAGTTCTTCGCGATTCCGAATCGGCATCAGCCCTGTTGGACGCCATCCGTGGTGGTCTGAGGGCTCTATGAGGCGCGCGCGGAACTGACGTACCGTACGCTCGGTTCTGTTTTTGGTCGGACGGGGAGCCACCCATGCTCGCCGTCCGCAGGCCCGCGTTTACGGTGACCGGAGATCGTCTCGCGATCCCCGACCCCCGGAGTATCCTTCGCGTTGGCTGGGTTGCGAGGAGCGCATCACGCCTCCTCCTTAGCTAGCATGACTGCTTCGCAAAAGGAGGAGACGGCAGGGCCGGACGTGAGAGGTCGCCATCGCCGATAGGGACGAGCCCTAGGCCTAACATAATGCTGGAACGGCATAAATTAGATGTTGAAGCAATCACAGGTGCAGAGCCCTTAATGTAACGTTCATCAGAAAGTCCCCTCTCCTGCACTTCATCATGGTTTCTGATGACTGAATTGCCCTTTGGTTTCTAATGGAACACTTTACATACCGGTTTTGTAAGTTAAATGTGATGCTCTGTTCTACGTGTCCCTATTTGACATTGGTGCAACTTATTTATGTGGACTGCTGCCACATAAATAAGTTGATCTGGAGTCATTGGGGGGAGGCCTACATTCAGCAATGAACTTTTCTGGTATATGATGATAAATGTTCCTAAGTGATAAATATGCCAAGCTAAAGCAAAGATCATAGGATTTTTGCATACACCATTGCATTGCATGACAGGTGCATATTCTATTGTAGTCTCTGTATGTGCAACAATAGTAAATAGGATACTGACTAATGTGTTGCGAGTTCTATTAACTTATTCAATAAAATAATGTATTTTCCTGATCTGTTTGAATTGACTTGGTTAGGTTTCTATTGTTGTTACCTATCATAAACTTAAGATATGTATGGCTTTGATATACATATGCATTTTGGAAAGTAACAAAGAGGTTTAAGGTGAGTCATCAATGAAACAATAACATGGGATTTTCTTAAAATTTATTGTAAATCACTTCACTTCCTTTGCACATTCTGTGGGCGCTGCATGTCCCTGGGGAAGGTGCTCTTGGGTGGTGTACGGATCCTCCTGTCCTTCTTAGACCTGTTGCGCACAACTTTGCTGTGAATGGCGCAGGAGACGCAGTAGTGGAGCTTTGCATACAGCTTCGGCAGCTGGAATGCTGTGGATTAAAATAATATTTGTTTAATACATTAAGAATTTGTTTTAAATTATGGTAATATATTTATGTAGCGTAATGCAGGTTTTTACAGTCAACTGATTTGAAACTCATTATGGGACGCTATGTTTAGCATTTTTTTTGGCCGATATGATAATTAAATAAGGATTAACTACTCATCTTCATGAGAGTGTGCTTACTTCATAAATACTAAATCTATCTCTAAAAATCTAAATACATTCTAAAATCTAAGGATACTCGTTAACCAAGATAACAGATAGTACAGATGGTATTTATAAGTTGTGACAGTGTAAATACTTACACTGTATAAATACTTATATAGATATTATTTTGTGACTTGATGGGACTGAATGATAGGTTTGTTGGTAACTGTTTTTTGTAGAAGGATTTCAAATGTAAATAAGACATGTATAACTAAAACTATAACTGAAAAATTTAATTATAAACAATCCGTGACCACGACAGGTTGATCTGAAGAGGTTGGGTTCTCAACATAGGCAAAAGCTTAAAATAAACCGGTGATAGGTTAAATAGTCTCTTATAGTGTAAATTTTTAAAAACATACAGCTAACAAAATGTGCTACTTACATGCATATACGGAAGCTTCGTTGATATCCCTGACGGCAGCCGCTTCGACAATATTCCTGATCACGAACTTTTTGATAGCTTTGTCCTTAGGCACGCAACGCGCGCAGTTGGTGCATCTCACAGCCTTAACGTGGCCACGGCCGTGCTTAGCCCGTCCTCCATTACGGCGTTTGCGAGTCTGAAAACAGAAATCATCCTTTCATGAGGCCACATGCTCGATTTGACAAAGTGACGCGTGTTTCAGATTCAAGATAAGCCGAAACATTACACATTGCACTGAAAATTATTTATTTATAGCACTTGAGATTTTGTTATTATTGATTATTAGCTATTTGCACTATTTAGTTTATTTTAATTTCAAAAAGTTTACGCACCATGTTTCTAACCTCCGAATCTCAGGACAGAAAACGATGGAAAAGAACTTTTAATCATAGACAACTGACTCAGCAACGGTGACATTGACCGATTTCCTATCATTCAATGAATGTTACCAACAGTAATAATTTCGTGAAATATACTTCTTACAACATGGAGACGCTGTTTTGTAAAAAAGTCTTTTAATGAATCAAGTAACAATGTAGTAGCTTCTAATGTTTTTTTTTTATTAAATAGATAAGAATAGAATATATATAGATGTATATTTTTGTATATTCATAAAATATAATCATGCTGTCAATCAAAAAAATATGGAAGAAAAAGAAGAAAAGAGCGGAACCATAAACAATATAAAGTTCCACGTTCCGAATGGTAATAAATGACTCATTCTTCATTCATTCCGTTCACCATCAATCAACAGAAAAAAAATAATCGTCTGTCACGAAGAATTTATTTCACTGTAATATTATTTTTGTTGCAAAATAATAATAGATTAGTAAAAAATTTCTTTGTTTCTTTAATTCGCGTAATTCATACAGTAATTGCAAACATGTTCCATGTTTTTCCGTAGCAGTGAATCTAACTTTACTCCGTCATCGTGTGATTGTCTCAAGTGCTCCGTGTCTTACTTAACTTTGTGAAAACATTTCTGTGAATTGCGATGTTGTGCAGATAGTCAATTGTTGTGTACCGCGTGTGAAATGTCACAACATGGATGCCCAGAGAGACTGTCGAATAGATCCAAAGGTTTCCAGGATGATGGACCGAGTCAACCTACGATGGAGGTTCTTGTGGAAACCCTCACGGGAACCGCGTTTGAAATGACCGTGCTGCCCACGGACACCATATTTGCCATTAAATCGAAGATATTCAGGGTCGAAGGTGAGTGTGGACGTGCATTACACAACTAGTTATTTGTTATTTGACAGAGTAGGCTTGATCGTGCGTCACGCGCGTCCGACAAAGGATGTTGTGGAGTTAGTGCGTCGTAAACGACGCTTTGCTGATAACCTATGCTGGTCAGTGTGAAACCTCTTTACAGTAACTATACATTACAGTAATTGCAAGCAAGAAGGTTAGAAGAAGTATAAGTAAGTAATTTAATTAAAGTATTGTGTAAGAGCTAAGTCCAGTGTCAATGTAAACAATGTTTTCTATAGATGTGTTGATGACTATAGCTTGGGAGTGCACAATACTTGTGTATATGCACTGTGTGAGCGACCTTTTGGACTCAATTGACCATTCATTTAGCCAATAAATGTCAAACAAACCTGTATTCTTCCATACTTTCTAATTAATATGGATGAATTTTGATTTGAATTAGTTATATTTCACATCTCCTAACTGTAACCATGGCTGGCAGCTGGCACAGTACCAATAAAAACAAAAAAAAAAGATGTTGGGATAGGTTAGTAACATTCATAAAAAAAGTGACATTGAGGCTATAATGGCCCCACAGATTATGGCTTCCCCACATTTTTTTTTATTTGTGCTTCTAATATTAAATGTGATAGTTGAAGCCTTATTGGTAATATTGTTTATGTTAAAGGGTTTTAGTTTTATCTTTTATTTATTTTTCTTTTCTTAGCAGAAAGCTGAGCAAACGAAATGTTTATTGCACAACATTTTGTTGCAATAACAAAATATAGTTAATGTACCCATATGTGTTCTATGGGACTTGTACTTTGTACTATTTATAGATTCACTCATTCTTGTTAGGAATTCATTGGATATTATTGTTTAAAGTAGTCAAGGATCTTCTCAGGCACATAATGTACATACCTACATAGTTTAATTTATGCATATGAAAATACAATTTATAATGACCATGTAACCTACAATTTATTCAATTGGCATGACTAATATTTATATGAAATGCAAGTTCAAAGTTTATACATGATTACAAGTCATTTGTGAACATTACAAAGCATGTTTTTATGTTGTTACTGCAAATATTTTAATAATTATATTTGACAAAACCTTATTACTCAATCACTTACTAGTCAACCTAGTTCATAGAACATACAATATTTCGAAATTAAATGTCTAGTAAATTAAATAATTTATGAAATGCAGCTGGTTCTCATGAATCGTTTCATAATACATTCTGAAAAATATTATGCTTAAAAACAATATTACCTGTTAATCAACATCCTGTTTTTCAAATTGTGAATCACTTGTGGAAATTCAAAACAAATGAGTATTACTTGTTACTTACTTACTTATTATTACCAAATATAGACTAAATGGGGTATAGTTTCCCTTATCATAAAGGGTTTAGAAAACCCCAGGTGACTATGTAAAAATCTTAAAATATCTTATGTTAGTACAAATGTTTGATGTCTTAATTCATCTGTGACCAATAAATTGCTATTTATTGTTTACACAGAATTAAGTAGTAGACATAGACATTGTAACTAAATATTATTTTTAGTTCTAATGACACTCAAGATGCAAACAATTATGGAAACATGTTCCTAAAACTATGAGTTACTTAAAATTCTTGGAATGCATGGGTTAAAAACAGGAAAGAGGTTTACTAATAATTGTCAGTACCTATCAAAGGGGATCACTAGAAATATAAAGAATTAGTGATGCACTTACTTACTTAATGAATACTCAATGCTGTTGTGAATATATTCATAAAACTCAACAAAGGTCTCACCTTGGGAGAAAAAAAGTTGACAAAACTTTTGTTTTTATCTCTACAATGAAATTCCTTTGTTATCTGACTTCCTTCTTCATTAGAAGGACATTCACTGTTATTTTGAATAACACACTCCCTGTGTTATTTCCTAGTATCTCTTGTTTGGTTATACCCACTGCCTGGCTCCTATTGACCCTAGAATGATGTTTATACCTTGCCTTGATAAATGGCCTATCCAACATAAAAAGAATTGTGTAATTTGAACCAGGAGTTCTAGAGATTAATGTATTCAAACAAACAAATTCGTCTCATCTATAATATTCATATTAATTATAGATATACCACTTGTTATCCACAACATTGACCTAGATATGGTCAAAAGAAAAGCCTCTGGATGATTTTTATATTTAGAGAAATAACTGTTGAAAAAGAATGTTTCATTGTGACATGATAAAAGAATAAAATATTAGTAAGAATATCTTGTTAAAACATATTATTTGGTATAGACAATAACTTGTATACATAGTAAGAGAGTAATTATTTCAAACATTGTTAGAAGATGACAGCAAACAAAGGCCAAGATGTGAAATGAATAAAAAGGAACTTTATGTTTATTTGATTGAATAAAACAATAATTGTATTGTACTGATCTGAGTGCACCTGGCATACAGGCAAGCAGAAGAAAACAAAGAAACATTATTTATCATAATAACTCATACATATTCACATTTTAATGCTTTAACTCGTCGAGTACCGGTTTTATAGACACAATTAAAGAACAATAGGTCGCGGTCACCGGTGACCGCTTGGTGTTTGACAGTTTAAATCAATCAGATACATGATTATAACTTTATTGTGGAGTGTTATACACTTAGGATTTTTTTTATCTATTGTCAGAAACACAATTGCCAATTCTACAAGAGGAAAAACTAATACACATCTTATTGCAAGATTTTTGTTAACATTATGTTTGACAAATACCCTTTCCATGTTTCTAATTTAATCAAATACCATTAACCTTATGAAAACAATTAACATTTGGTAAAATGTGCTGTAAAAGTGTTACACCTGATTTTATACCACTAAACTGGGGAATTGAAGTCAAGGTTGACACTGAGCAATTTCAGCGAAAACTTTGAAACAGTCTCCTGTCCATGTATTAATCATGACAAGGTCACTGAATTAATACTGATTTCATATAAAATAGAGGACATTTTTTAACATCTTAAATGTCAATCTAAATTACCATCAATCTCTTCCTCCCACTCCCACCGAGCAATAAGCAAATCTAATAATACAAATTAAAGATAACAGCTTCAGAATCTGTTTTTCTAGGTCTCCGTTTTTGTGAGTCAAGTATTTTCGAAAATAGACATTTATTCACTTGGGTGTCCTCGTTTTATGATGCACCAACATCTGATAAAATATATCACGCTATTGTGATGATGCTAACAATTTTGTTTTATTAAAATATTGAAGAGACCTTGTAGAATGACAGATTATTTCATAGCAAGTTTACTCAAACAGCTGAATACTATTTTAAGGTATAAAGGTGTGTTCACACGGGCGGTTGTTCCGCGCAGGTCAACGGGGTTTACACGACTTTGGAATCTTTGATGTGGTGCCAGAACGATTGCCGTGAGATATGTTATGCGCGCTGCCTGCACTCATATCGTTTTATCACGATTGATTTATTGCTGCACGCATTCGGAAATCGGGTTGATTCGATTTAATGTTTGCCGATTTAAATGTATTTGTTTGTATGAGAGCACCTGTATTGATACGTTCAGCATCTGAAAATAATAAGCTGAGTATTGGTTACGCACAATATATGCGGTGAATACCCTGAAACAATGCTTTTGTGTAGCGATTTCAGCCGCAGCCCAGTTTTGGTTCCATAAGTCTTTTGTTAGTTGTTATATTTGCAGCAGACTGTTTAAAAATGGTACGTAGGTACTATAAAAATAACAGGTGTGATGTTATTTATAACTCATACTTATGCCATAGCATCAATCAACAAAATAATTAGTTAGTGGGAAGTAGAGCTGTGGCCAGACTTATTGGTGCTCTCTTATTGGAACAACTAGCACCTTATCAAACTCAAGGTAGTCTGTCTTAGAAGGATCTCCTTTATTTATTTCCGCACATTTCTTTCCTTGTAGTGTGACGACTGCGAGGACGTACCGACACGTGCATTAAACTCCGTGACGCAACTGTAACTAAGTCTTCACGTCACTAATTAATGTTCTGCTATCAACTATACGATGTATTGTTCAAGAGTTACAGTTTCGGTTTCTTCTAGAAATATCCAAGAATGTTTTCTTGAAGTAATCAATCAGCTTTAATATCAAAGCTTAACTTGACAGCCGTTCCAAATGATAGATGTATCTAGGTTGCGAATTGGTCATAGTTATTTAGATATAGATTGTTTATGTGTAGTAGAAATAGCTGTGCTATTTTATATAAATAAATTGATTTTCATATAAAGTTGACCACGTTAGATTATTTTTAACTGAGTGATAGACATTACCTAAGCAACATAAAGAAGCTAACATGTATGTAAGCATATACGAGTACCTACAAGGATTTCTAATACGTGTGAGAAAAACTAAAAAATGTTTTAGACACCACACATAACTTATGACCGTTTTTACCAACCATGCCTAAACATTCTCCTACCTAAGAATTACTTAGAATGAGGAAGCACCTTAGGGGTTACTTAAAATTTAAGATAGGTGTGTGAAAACGAGCTTTCGACTTAGGTCAGAAGTCAGAATTTCACTAACAAAGTATAACTTAGTTTCCTACTGCATTTTGTTGCACACATTGTGTACCCTCAACAGGAAAACGCTACAAGCCACAATAACATGATGTAATTGTTGTACATCACAAAGAAAGTAAATACTAAATATTGGATTCCTGCATGGTGACAGGAGTATTTTCGCTTGGCCTTCCTCCAAGCACATGATTCACGGACAGTCGCCGCCACTTATCAGATGCTATACTTGTATAAACTCATTGCCAAATTCGTTGAGACACTATTATGTCGCACGTGTCATTTTTACAAGTGACGTAACCACAGTACCACACACTGTACCGATTATGTACAGTTCTGCTCGTTCATACATAATTGAAAAGGTATACAACTAATTTTGTATTCGTAGTTTCAAAAGTTTTCGTAATAAGTCAATGTTTATTCGGATATATGGTGTTTGTAACAGCATCTGTATTTGATTTTTACTTCTCGTCATCCGAGTTAACTGTGCGTAGCTGAGCAGTTCTGTAGGCTGTGGACCAGGGTAAAGAAAAACTTAGTCAAAAGCAATATTTAGAAGTTTTACCACCCCAAAGAAATGTTGCCCACCATTGCACTAGATTATAAAACACCTTTTATTTATACTACATACAATAAATTTCATATCCATTTTTGCCATCTTTACTAAGTCCTTATGAAATCTTTCTCAATATACGTTGTTAAAATGTTGCAGGTATCCCGGTGTCCCAGCAGCATTTGCTATACAATCTCAAGGAGTTGGAGGACTCGTCGTGTCTCCGCGAGCATGCCATCGGTGACGGAGCGCGGCTGCGGCTGGTACTGGGCATGCGCGGCGGGCCTATCTCCACCCGCCGCCTGCCGCCGCCGCCCAACACCGAGCCCTGGAGGGACATCGAACGCCTGCTCGATACCAACAGGTGAGGAACACATGACCAACTTGGGTGACCCTAGCCTTACAACGATTACTACAAGCCTTTTCCTTTATGAGTGAAACATCATCAAATGACTCCAGTCTCCCTAAATGTCATTCAGTCTCAATGTAGATCTAGACTTTTACTATACTAACTAAAAACTATGCTCTGTGCCCCAGCACAGAGCATAGTTTTAGCCTAGTTTTGTAGCCTTTGATACATAAATCAATATTTCCTGGTATTACTTGACGGTTACTTGTTATTGGAATCAATCTAATGGTTGTTTCACACACATACATTGATCAATTCCTAACAAACCAGTCATATAATGGTTAGTCTGACTGAACCTTGAAGAAGAGTATACACTAATAGAATAATGCCAATTAAATGATTACACTTTCATCAATTTGAAGTATTTACTTATTGCATGAAGTTTTTACGTACTTATATTCTTTTTTAATAATGATGTGTGTAGTCGTGTTTCCAGAGAGGACGTGGAATGGGGCAGCAGTGGATGCAAGGTGACAGTACTAGTGTTCCGCGACGGAGAGCGCGTCAACATGCTGCGCGTCAAGGAGAACCACGACGGGACATACTCGCCACTCGAACACTCCAAACTTTGTATGTACTCACACTTTACTTGGCTTTTCTAAGTTATACTTAAAAATCAACCTACACCTAGTTTATTTGTGCTTTATGGATGTAGACTAGACCATAACAAAGACTAAATAATAAACCACAACAAAGATTAAATTATACATTATACTGGTTGACACTTTCTCAAATACCAGTTACTTTGTAAAGAACTAAGCATAAACTTCAAGAAAACTGTAGAAAAAATTTGTCAGTTAACCAGGTATATTTGTCCATTAGATGCAAATTCCCCGACACTGACGCAGCTGCTGGAGCGCGAGATAGAAGACTTCAGCCCCGTCGTGGGCATGACGACCGTCGGGCGCGCGCTCGGCGGCCCGCGCGCGCTGCACGACAACGCCGTCACCATGGGCAAGATGCTCGACCTGCGCCGCCGCATGGACGCGCTCTCGCTGCACCGCCCGCCGCGCGCGCCCGCCGCGGGGGCTTTCGGTCTCTATTCCTCATATTGTCGTCATTGTTTTGCAATTTACGTGAAAATTTTGGATCGAAAAAACTCATTACGAAATAAATTCTTTTACAGATAAAGTAGAAATACAGAAGACTCGTAGCGAAGAAACTCTTTCCGTCCCTAGCTTGTTGGAGGAGACCGGCGGCGGGCTCAAGCAGCGCGCCGCGTCATACGCACCCATCAGTGACGCCGAGCTCGCGCCCCGCGCCCCGCCGCGCGCGCGCCGCCCGCGCCCCCCCCCCCGCGCGCCCCCCGCCTCGACCTCGACGTGGCGCTGCCGCCGCTGGCGCCCGACCCGCCGCCGCGGCCCGGGGACACTCCCGTACAAACTGATTACGGTAAGTGGTTCTTCTACCTCAACATTGTTACTCTATTTGACTTCGTGCCACTTAGTGCGTGTAGTAATATATGATGTCGCCCCCAGCAGCGCGCGGCTCGTGGTCGGAGCTATGCGCGGCGCGCGGCGGGCCGGAGCTGGGCGGGCCGCAGCTGGGCGCGGCGCGCGGCGGGCCGCACTCGCAGTCTGCGTCGTCGCTGCACGTGCGCGCGCCGCTGTCGGACGCGCTGTTCTCGTCGTCCACGTCGGAGCTGGAGAAGCTGCGCGCCGGCGGCCCGCGGCTACTGCCCGGCCTGTCGCGCCACCGCCCGCGCGAGCATCTGCACCTCAGCGACGAGAGACTGGACGCCGCGCCCGAAGCCGCGCCCGCGCTGACGCCGGCCGACGCGCCGGCCGCCGCGGGGCGGGCGGCGCCGGGCCGGGCAGCAGTACGCGGCGCCGCACGCGGTGCGGGCTGTGCCGCAAGCGGCTGAGTATCGCGACGCTGCACCGCTGCCGCTGCGGCGGGAGTTACTGCGCGCCGCACAGGTACGCGGAGGTGCACGGGTGCGCGTACGACTACCGCGCCGCCGCGCCGCGCCACGACGCGCCGCTGCACGCGCCCAAGCTGCCGCGCATCTAGGCTCGGCCTAACCTTAAGATAAAAATGTTCAAAAATCCTCCGCCATGTGTGTGTTTGTTTTCTTTTCTAATGAAATCGTCGTGGAAAAAAATTGCAAAAAAAATATATGTAATAAATAATTATTCGCTCTAAAATATCGGCCCCGGTAACGTCGAGGTGCTTTACTTTGTGCTAGGACACGCGTACTCGTATGGTTTCTACGCCGGGCGCTCGCCGGCTCGCCGCGCCCGGGGACGGATCGGTTGCAGATTGTTATATTTTATTACTGACGACGCCGATCGCCCCGGACGGAGCGCATCTCAAGTTCCAAATGTTAAAGTTACAGTACAAATGACACATAGAGATTGTAGAAGCAAGTTTATATAAATGTTAAGTAGCTCTAGTACGAGATCGTACAAACATTCGCCTGTCTATTCCCCTTCCCTTGTTGTTATGCGGGTCCTTTTGGACCCCTTGTTACACGTCTTTTGTAAATACTTTCGTAACGTAGTACTCGTAGTACAGGAAAGTATCTGTATTGTAAACAAAAGACTGCGATTGTAAAGTAATACGATGTTATTATAATGCGCAGGCGACGCTACTCTTGTAGTGGAGTTATACAAGCGTTGTTGTTGTCGTCCGGTGAGCACTCGGCCTAATTTGTTGTTGTATAATACATTGTATAACACTAGATTAATTAATGCTTAAAACATATTAATTTTATATGAATATCATACTCGCCTGGTCTGGGAACGTCACGGTACCTACTCGGTGTCACTCGGCTGTACGCGACTGCGCCAGACTCGCGCCGGCATTTTGTTTGTTGCAGGATTACGTTCATGGCGGCCGCGATAGTTAAATTATATTAATGTTGTTCCAAATTAACTAAATAAGTAATATGTACCAGTAGAAGGAACCGACCTGGAGTCTCGTCCCACAATATGCCTGGATGGCGCGTCACGAACGTGTTTCTTGGAACAAATGTGTTGTTGTATGGCCTACTGTAAATATTCGGGTTCTAATAGTTTAGAACTGTAGGTATATTGTGTTTCCATATGTCGAGAGTCGGAGTGATACATAATTATATTGTAATGTTGACAGATGATATAGTTTTGTACTGTTACTGACTGTGCGGTGCAACTCGTCAGTCCACTTATTAATCATTATTGTCGGCTGGGTTTGCCAATTTTTCGTATTTGATTGTATAATTTAAGTTTATAGTTAATGTTTATTTGGGAGAAATAATTTTGGCTGATTTCGATAATAAATATTTATAACGCGAAAGCGTCAAACAATTTATTTACTTTTATCACACTTATATTAATAACAATATAAAACTATTATTTGGAATAATAAAATCTATTTAAGTACTAAAATATTTTGACTTGACATGTCCCGAGTAGGAAACACCTAGCAACGAATGAAGTAGCTTACAAAATTGAGCATTACATTGAGTTACATTAAGTAAATATAGGCAGTTAAAACTATCCAAGTCTTTTAGACAAGAGTACACACGGTAGTCGGACACAAACAGCTCTCTCTACCTCATTATACAAGAAATTAAAACCACATTCATAACAAAGTTTTAACAATGAAGTGATACATGATCAAACAATACTTATAGTCTTGTAGAAAAGTTTGACACATTGAAATACCACACGGTTACATAGAAATGTATGCACGTGACAAATCTCACGAAGCATTTAACTCTATTATACATCTAGTAACTAGATTAGGAACAATATATCATATTGCTCATTTCAAACCTGCGACTAGGAGATATCACCTACTTCTGTGACAAGTAAAAGTGTCACGCAATCGACTATCAATATTAAGTCGCAATCCACAATATAAATCACTAATTACATTCGAAAACATACCCGTCCCACCCGCTGAACCGAAGTTGTCATCAATAAGTAACAAGAGTACGTAATTTTTGTACGGATATACCACGAGTTCAAAACATAGTTTGCCAGAAAATACGTCATATTAGATCTACAGTATCAGGAGTTCATAACACAGGAGTAAGAGGTGTTTTGAAATGTAGGTAGGATAGCAGATAAAATAATTCAATTTTACCAATCGATTGCTGTATAATCAGTCATAATCGTTCTGGGGTATGAGGACTAGTAAGAGGTTAGAAACAAGTGAGTACGGTAGGATATATGTATGAACGAAATTAGTTTGTGAATATTATTTATGTATTTATTTATTTATTTATGTATGCTTTATTGTACACATTTATGTAGTTTAAAACAAACAATTCAAGTAAATATGCGTACAATGGGCGGTCTTATCACACAATGGTGATTTCTTCCAGACAACCTTTGGATGGAAATATTTGTAAGAAACCAGATAAGGGGTAGTTACGTGTACAATAAAAAAAAAAAAAAAAAAAAAAAAAAAAAAAAAAAAAAAAAGTCCCAATAAAAATGCCTACAATACAACCTACAATAGATATAATATACTAGCAACATATAAAAAGAAATACATAAATAATATACAAAAATACAATAAGCGATGTGTGTGTGTGTTTGTGTATGTTATTAATTAATGAAATACTGACATTTGTAATACTTATACTACGTACGATTATGTTTTTACTACGCTACGCGGTGCATTTTCATTGAAACTCAAATGTCATTGAAGAAAGTTTGCTTACTAAACTTTACTTTTTGATGCACCTCTTAATATATTAGGAAGTCTTAGTTTTTCACAGCGAATATGACGTATTTTTGCTGAGCTCAAATTATGGATCTTTTTGAAGTATATTTTTTTTGCTTGAATCTTTTATTGCTAGATATTTTTGGTGCTTTGTTACGGATCTTTTAATTTATCGATAACTTCGGTTCCCACAGTCCAGTGTAGTCGGGTCGTACCCGGGAAACTATCAATTACACTTCTGCAAGTGTCAGCTGTTGTAACCTCTATCATAGAACTTGATCATCAGTTTCTCTCAGAAAACATTCGAATATTTCAACAAAGTTCTCAATGCCTTCTCTGAAATTTTCATCGATTTGCTTTTCTTCCTCGCTATTAAAGAAAGCGTGGGCAAAGTCAATGACCTTGACGGTGCCCCAGGGGTTAGGAGTAGGAGAGTCGTACGACAACTGGTCCAACATGGCTCTGTAGTTCATCTTTATTTTGGACAGTTTATTCTCGTAGTTGTGTTCAAAGGAGTGGTTGTGGTTGAAGCTGGCGAGAGCTTCAGACCATGGGGAGTTGATGGGCGGTGGGGGTGAGAAGCTAGAGTGAGACAGAGACATAGGTGAGAGTGGGACGGATTGTAGTTTCTTGTAGACGGGGCCTTTGGAAGTGATCTGTCCGCTGAAGTTGGAGCCCGAGCCCACGCTGTGCAGGGAGTGGCGCCGCCGGGGGACCGTGGCCGGCCGGCAGCCCGCGCGGGCTCTGGAACGGACACGGATGGTTATAGTCAGTAGGGGTACTTGGTAAATATCAATTCTGGAGATGTCTTGAAGATAATCACTAGGGTGATGAAGCTGCATAGCTGTATTTAATATACTAAATGAGTAGGCAAAGGTGTTTAAGTACTTTAATATAACTCACAAGCAGAGCTGAGTTATCCAGGACAATCTCTATATAATAAGCTACTTTATGGGATGGGATCTCAGTCGAACTCGAATAGGGTAGACGACTAATTTTTATTTTAATGTCCGTCTGATAGATTATTTAAAAACATTAGACACGTATTTTTTATTTTCTCACAGAAACGAATAGTTTCGAAGATATATTGATTTGAAATGTCGCGTGACGTCACTTCTCAGTACATTTTATACTAAGGAATGACGTTTTAGCCCCCACTCCTAAACTTTGATTCGTTTTATCTAAGTATTGTTTTATTATACGACAAAATAAAAAAATACGTGTCTAATATTTTTTCATTACCTAACTTACGGACTAATTATATTTTTAATTTTCATACCCTGTCATCATCCCCATTAAATCTAAAACTTACTGTTTTAAAATTACTAATGCAGTGCGCAACGTTGATCAATAGATGGCGCCACACAAAAAGTAGCACAATTATTTTTGATACATTCTTAGAAGAAGCGCCGGTACTTCGGGTACCAACTGCCTCTCACATACAAAAATTACGTGTTGGGTATGTCTTGATATCCATACCCCACGCGCCTTGCGGCGCATGTGCCATCTAAGTGACAAACACCCTTTTTTGTCCGACCGAGCGCGCGGCCGAGACTAGTACAAACGCGTGTAACGAAACCATAGCGCGATTCAGGATTCGGCGGTAAACTAACAACGCCATCTATCGATCAGACATCAAATTATATTGTTAAGTAGATACTTATTTATATTGTTTTAGTTTTCAGCGCTCATTTTGTTAGTTTGTAACTTCTAGATGTAAAACCAGGAAAACGGTAATTTCTTTATAATAAGTTAGAACAAAAAAGATCTCTAAACTCTTGCAAATAAGTGCGGTAATCAGTATTTTACTCGACAAAATAGTTTTACAAAACAGATATACGAGCCGCATGCAGAATCTGGATTCTGGTCTTTTACTGTTCCGGTGTGTTTACTACAGACTGGTCTGTTTTTACTAATAATAATCGTCAAGACAGTAGCTGTATGTTACTAACGTGAGTTCCTTGCTCTGGCAGCAGTCCCTCAGCCTGGCGGCGTCGTACACCAGCAACAAGGAGGCGCTGTACAGCCGCACCGCCGTCTGCCGACGCGACCATTTCTGTATCTTCCACAATTCTGATAGAAACTGCAGCAGTAAGGCACGGCATAACGTCGCTCCTATACCGTTCAGGTAGTTGCGGATTGCTGAAATTTGGAATTAGTAGGTTGATTTATTCAATGGTTGTTATTAAAAATAACATTTGATACGCACATGGACATAAATAAGTATCGAGGTTTGAACTGCACCGTGTCTGTTCGCGATAAACTCAAAAACTACTGAATGAATTTTGATGTGATTTTTACAAGCAAAAGTGGAGTACCTACCTGTATCACAACTGACCCACCAGAGGTGTTACAAGTGTGATGCCGGCCTTTTGGGGATTAGGAGTTTGAGGATCGTTGGGGGATTCAGGGATTTGGGAGATTGGGGAAGGGGAGAGTAATTGGGCCTCCGGTAACCGCACTCACACGACGAAACACAACGCAAGCGTTGCTTTACGTCGGTTTTCTGTGAGGCTGTGGTATCACTGCGGTCGAGCCGGCCCATTCGTGCCGAAGCATGGCTCTCCCACACTTACTTGAAACTAGTTACATCAAATACCCGTAAAACAACATAGTAAGTAGTTTAGTTACCTTCTTTAACAGCATGTCCGTGCAGCCGCTTCCCGTAGTCCTTGTTATACTTGCAGAGCTTGCCAGTACTGAGTCTGTACACCTGGAACCCTGGGATACAGAACCCGTACTGCTGCTTGCATGCCGCGTACTTGCTCTGCTCGTTCTTTATCTTCTCCTCCGTGGCCAGCGGGTCCCATGTTCTCTTGCCTATAAAAATGAAAATGAAAAATGAAAATGAAATATTAGGTTTGAGGTTTTTAAAATTTATTAATCTATATCTGATTTACCCTTCTTTACGTGATATGGGTACCAGAATATGTATAACCATGTTTCCTGTACGGAGGTGTATGGTTGGAAAAAAGGTGGAAGGATTTGGAGTTTCACAATTCAACTGCAATATTCATATAAAAAACCTTATCCCACACTAGGATTTTCTCCTGTATCGTGGGTGCGTTTAAAAAATATATACAAGTTAACATACACACCTGACACCCAGACCTGAAATAATAATTTGTGGATCGCACAAAGATTTGTTTCGCGCGGGAATCGATCTCGCGACACGTTGCACGGCAGCCGGTTGCCCAGCGACCGCACCAACAGTGCAGTCATATTAAATATCATATTGTTATAATACGGAAGAGAATATCTAGATACCTATCATACTTCGAAATAAGAATGAAGTATGAAGTGAAACAACAAATGATCGTTGAGTGTTCCCAAGCTCTTGGGCACACGGGTATACCACGCAAGGGGTCAGTGATTAATTTAAACCAATCTTTTGATTTTTAGTTATCAGTATAATACAGATATCTATGTAGTAAGGTGAGTCAGTAGGGACGGTGTGCAGTGCGCAGTGACGCAACCTGGCCAATATTTATCTGCAGATTGTGATGGACAATAAAACTTTACTATTTGCAAACTTCTGGGATATAGTGCACGTTGTAAAGATACGATATAATCCGCTAGCACTGGTCAAAGCAATCTGAAAGGTCTACACGATGTGGACAAATCTACTGCAATAAATCAGATCAACTGCCCGTGAGTCCTCCACTTATGCTTCGGGGCTCCAACATAAGAGATGTTTGGCGAAAACTTTAGGTTTGGCAATTGCAGTTTAAACGGTTCAGGTTTATCAGACAGCGCTGCTGCGACAGACAAAAGTCCATTACATAAATAATTATACCTAAGACAAGTTACTAACCAATCTTAACATCCATAATACAGGGCTCCAGCATCCTCTCAGTTAGGTCCTCCAGTATGATGTAATCCTGCTCGAACCCATTGTACGTGTACTTTCTGTTGCCGAAGTATTTCGCCACTAGCCCCCGCAGCTCCTGCAGCTCAGCGTCTGAGCTAGTCTTCAGGTGCTCGTAGAAGTCCACCTCTCGCTTCTGAGACTCTTTTATGATAGGTTTCATTATCGTGCCATTGTTGCATTGGAGGAGACCTGGAAAAAAATTAAATATCGTCTTTTAAACATAGGTACTTAATCTATCTGGATGTTTTTTTAATGCTTTTAATCCATTTCATAGACAATTGCATTTTATGAACACTGATCACAAGGTCATAGATTCGTTCCATATCAAGGTTAAATAAGTAGGATAATGCCTACCTTTATTAATGGAATTTCGAATATCCGTGTTTTTTGTAAAAAATAAACTAGAACTCTCTGTACACTAAGTGCCTGTTACATTAGTGGATTTGTATTGCAGTTCCTACTCTAAATAAATGTTGTATTCCAGTTTCGCAATCTAATCCTACTTCTAACCGAAAGTCAGGTATTAAAGGTCACAATAATCCATGGTAGTACAACCTAAGCCACAAAAAAATTTGCGACCATAATGATTACAAAATAAGGCACAGTTTTTTCTAAAGAAACTACTGCTGATATTGCGATCAGCGAGCTCATCATTGTTATCTCCTTACCTAAGTACTTAGTATCCTCGGTCTTCCTGTGTCCGGCCACCTGGCGCGCGTAGGCCTGGACTTCTAGCGGGCTGGTGGGCATGAGCAGTGGCCTGGCCGTCATGTCGGCGTCCTGGCGCCGCATGCAGTAGTGCACCTGGTAGATGGAGCGCTGCCGCCGCACGCTGCTACCGCTGCGTCTACTCTTCTCTGATACATCGCTCATTTAGTTTTAAGCCTGGAATTAAAAATACACAATATAAGCAACATATTACACCCAGTTACCTCCGTGTCTATTAGTTAGCACTTCATAGGAGCACAGAAGAATAGAAAATCGAAATACAAATGTTTTGTTTTTACTACAAAATTTACTTTTTTTTTTAAAGAGCAATATGTACTTTTCTTTCTATTAGCTTTGCTAGTGTACTGACTGACGGACAATTTTATTTATTGCTATATCTTTAATATACTTAAGTATTTAATTTTTTGGACGTGAACTTAATAATGCCAACAGTCACGCACAATTGGAAATATAGCGCACATAAACGATAAAAAAAATAATTGCACACTGCCGCATTCGTAATTCAATTAATCAACTAACCACTAATATTTTATAACAAAACACTGTTGTGTCCTGAATCCTTAAGATTCAAACACCTAAATTCTAACTCCATCGTTACACCATCAAACTAAATAACAGACTAACTTAAGTTTTTTTTGTAGTCATTCAACAAATTTTGTTACAAGCAAATCGCATCGACCTTACCTTACCTAATTACTTCCTCAATAAACCGTTAAAACAATTACTATTATAGTTTCTTGTCACTTGTCAGTACTAGTTTCTTGTTTTAAACCTTCACAAACTACACTTTTAAGTCTTAAGGATCACTTAAGTCTTTACTTTTGTAAAATCCGTGCAGCAGTTTTTGAGTTTATCCCGACCATACACACACAGATGCGACAAGGAACTTTTGTATTATAGTATTTAAGGATACAAATACTACGTTATTGACCGATAAAATAAACAATAAAATAAAGGATACTTTTTAAACATTACCACAATACAATGTAACGCTGACAAATATTATTCACAAACTACAGTTTACGAATGATGCGGGCAATTCGCAATTAGAATAGTTATCGAACTATTGACTCACAATAACTGAGCTTATTTATTAAGTATTTTATTTACCTATGTTTACTTATTTTCACGATACTTAGGTCATTGATGTTCTATGGGTCATTTAAGTCATCTATTGTTATTAATTAATCAAAACTATAACTGATAAGCATGTAAAAGTTTATGTTTGCTTTGACACGCTTTTATAGTTAATTTTATGTATGCTAATGAAACACAAACATCTTATCCTGTATTAATATTTTCAACAATCACATGATCCCAGAATACCCCGCCGCTGCGCTAATCAGAAAATAGCAAACTAGTTTTTACGTACTGTTAAATAGCTCGATTATATTGTTGCATTACCTATACCTAGTTATTCCTAGGTCCTCTGTATTTATTCTTACGTTCTATCTTTACTAAAACGTCCTTAAACTTGAACGTACCAATGTAGGAAACGAATAAATGTACCTATCCTACGTTTCAGATATCTACTTAGTGAGATATTAGCAACGCATTGTTATTTACCATCATTAAACTGTCAAACACCAAGCGGTCACCGGTGACCGCGACCTATTGTTCTTTAATTGTGTCTATAAAACCGGTACTCGACGAGTTAATCCGTTACCCCATTACTATATTTCCAATTAAACTCAAAACCGTTACCTGAACAATCCATTTTGAAACAAAAACGAATCACAAGAAAACAAAACAAAAGTAAAAATTAAATGAATGCGACCACAAACAACACTAAGAGATGACAGTCGACTAATTGATGTAGGTAGCACAAAATGGGTTTATTAGAATTCTACGTCTGACCACAAATGACTGGTACATTAAATATTAATAATAGGTACCTATTAAGGCGAAATCACTGCGGAGGGAACCAAACTCGGAACACAACTGAAATATTCGCGAGAAACGAACGCGTTAAGGATTTAACTTTATATCTAATCAACACATAAATCAAGATTGACTTGTGTTTATCAATTGATATTTTTACGACATTCATGATATTGTGATAATATTATTAAATTACGTTTCGAATGTTTGTTTTAGTTTTGAATAAATCAAAGTATTGAGGGAGCCAGATGTCAAAAATTGCCATAAACAGTTACAATGTTAAATATAGATTCTTGAGACACGATATTACGTACTACATAAGCATAGGCTATAAACGACACCTCCTCATGTTTATCATCTTATTTTCCACTGTTTTTTCACATTCAATTAATGTTTTACGTTTGACGACTTAGGTTACTGTTTGACGAGACGACTTGATTAGTTTCAAGCTACGCTAGGGGCTCTTTTACCGAAAGTCAGAAAAAAAGCAAATCAGGTTCAGGGATGATGAATAATAATGTTTCCTACTGAAATCATCTACTCTCAATCTATGGCAGACTGTCCCCCACATCTATATCAATCATTCAAAATTGAGTCATGAAAAAATACGTCTCAAGCCGATAGTGATTTTTACGTGAGATGCTGAGTAAAATCGTCAAATGTTTCTCCATATATCTTTGACAAGGTGATTCATGCAAGTTTGTCCTCTCGTCAGCAATCAGTTCATACATTCATATACAGTTGATGCAGTTTGGCAGATAATATTTTGTTAAAATTTTCTTGTTTATAATTAAATAAATTTACTTTATTATCAAATATAATATTATTTACCAAACTGTAGTTTGGCAAAAAAGCGGCTGATGCGGTGACAGTTAAGCTGGAACTAATGATGACTTGGACTGAATCACCTACTTCGTAGTCTTCATGAATAAACAATCATCCGAAAATAGTACCTCCAAATTCTTAAACTCGATAAAAATAATAAATATTGAAACCCATTAAGTCGTAGTGTAGCAGGATGCCACAGGTATTATACTAGCGACCTCTATCATTTCAAACTCTATTTTGCCAACCTGTATGCTACTTTTAAGAAACGTTAAAACAGTAAGTACTAATGCACTTAAACATGTGGAGTGATAGCGTCTCTGTCAGACATTAAAAACATATAATAGGTAGGTATACAATTATACATATCATATTTTGATAGAGTAGGTAAGTAGGTACCTGCTTATTTTAAGTGGCTAATCTGTGGCTGATACAATGATGAAGATGAACGAAATAAAAAAAACACTTTTAACAAAAAAATAAAATGACGGTTAGAGAATAGCTTAATGCTTCAAGTCAAGGATGTTGCAAAAGTTTCAAATATTATATGTGTGCTTGTGCAGACACCTAAAAATTTAAATAATTGCTAGGTATATTGGAACTAAGTATTCAGGTTATATTACGTAGGTCATTCTAAATAACAGAAAGAAATCTAACAGACAATAATTGATTACAAATAAAACAACATCTAAGGTAACATAACAATAATATATTCAGTTTCAATTATCATTTTCAGAGATCACTTATTTATCATATTTATAGAACCCTTCACCAGTTTTCCTGCCAAACTTTCCTTCGCTGACGAGCTTGTTTAAAAGAGGTATGGGTTCAAAAGCCGGTAGTCCAGTCTTTTCATGCATGACACCTAGGACGAATTTCTTAGTGTCGAGGCCTGTGAAGTCGGCCAGTTCTAAAGGACCCATAGGGTAACCAGCGCCAAGTTTCATAGCTATGTCTATATCCTCGGCTGAAGCGTCACCTGCAAGATATGATCATAATATTATTGATTGCGAAATAATCTTAATGCATTATTTGTACTTGATTGAAGATATGAAGAGTTCGTGACAGTATTGTTTTGGAAATAGATGATTAATATTCTATATATAACTACTTATGCATTTAAGTAGTTTCATCATGATGATCATCAGTTTATAACTGCACCACTACTGGGCACTGCTCACATTAATAAAATATTGACCACCACGCCTTACTCAAAGAAAACAATTGATCACCAATATATATATGTCCTGGTTTCGTCACGATGTTTTCCTTCACTGTTAACTTAAGTTTAGGTACTTAATAGGTCAACACATTTAGAACATTAATTATTATTTCAAAGTTAATTGACAACAATTTCATGAAAGTATAAACCGTAGACGAGTTAGGTCACGTATGCCTGTTGCAGAAAAATAATTGAGTTTTCCGTTTCTTCGAGCTTATGTAACTTGGAGACGGAGATGAAATTGGTTTAAGACTCAGTTTCCTTCGTTTTTAAGCTAGAGTAAGGGAAAGGTCTTTTGAGAAGGGCCTACCTATAACTTAGAGCTCGTATACAAAACTACGATGCGACATCGCATCGCAAAAATGTGCGAGCTCCGTCTAATCATCATCATCAGCATCGCAAGAACTTGCGAATTGATCCGCATCGCGCATCAAAACCTTATTTTCACAAAATCTTCTTTGTTTCCTTTTCCTGTATCTCCTAAGCAATAACAAAGTGCATACTTCTTTTTACGATCCATGTCACGACCTAGTTTTCAATTTAAAATACGTTTAGTACGGTTGACGTTCGTCGAAGGAATGATCAACCTGGGAGACGCCTTGTCGCACGAAATCGCATCGCATCATAGTTTCGTGTACGAGCCCTTAAACTGTCTATCATTTAGTTTCATATTAAATTGAAATAGGCACCTGCCTAAAGATAATTTAAAGGAACGAGTATGTGACTCTACAGTTAACCAAAACGTATGGGTACGTAATCCCAGTGAGTCAGTGGCTCACATCATGGCTATTTTCATTGTATGCTCACGCGCAGTTTTCACAACGTTGGGAGTTGTAAAAACAAATACTACTTTAAACTTTTATCTTTATTAAATCCTTGTTGACGTCACACCGTTTAGTCTGGCTCAAAATAGGATTATTGAGGTATCTGGCCTGCTCATGTGTGTCTGTAATAACATCACGGTTTTTAGCCCATGAACGCTGTACATGTAGTATGAGACCCACCTACAAAACCGTGGAATGAGCTTGTTTGTGGTATTATCATACTTTTTCAAAATTCCTCTAAATCAAAAAACATGCTGACTGTTGTCTTAGAATTCCGAGGGCTTAGCATGAGTTTGTTTTATATTCAAAGTAATTGAAACGAGACCGCGTCCAGCGCTCTGATTGGGCGTACCTACTCGTTTCGATGACTTGAATGGGCTTTCTCGTAGTAAACAAGGCTATGTGGAGGTATATGATGGTAGCTACTTATTTTATTGTGTTATAGGTACTCTAATATGATTTGGCAACAAGTCTGTCACATAAATATACCATATCATATAAGTTCCTACCTGTACCACTACCCCTTCTGCTTACCCTGTCAGTGTCAGCAAACACGATACATAATATGTATAACGATACATTTGTATAATGACTGCCAACAGTAGACATTTACCTTGATAACAATTTCTTGGAACGAGCACACTATTTTTAATTATTATTACACGAATACAGGAAAAAGTCTTGAAAATTGAATGACTAAGTTTGAGATACGATGACAAAGAACAGAACACATTACTATATACTTACATACATTTAGTGTATTATCGAAACACATGTACTTGCCACACACCGCGATAACAATATTATTATTGTGATGATAATCAATTAATCATTATTACATAAGTACTTAAAATACGTACCTAAACACTGTACGGACAGCATCAAACATAATTCTTTTCTAAACTACGTTTAAAAAACCGACTTCAACCCCCTCTGTTTTTTAAGTTGGTTAATTAAGGTAGTTACTAAACCTTCACCCGTGTAACAAACACGACGATACGGAGCCCCGCAGGACTTAACAGGTTACCGGGGCTCCGGCTCGACGTGCAGGAGTACGAACGGGGTGATTTTTAGTCAGTAAGAGTCTGACACTTCCTCCCGCCTCACCCAGGCGGGGGCAATCCTTCGATGATTAAAAAAAAGTGTAACAAATATTTTTCTGTAAACCGCATCGAAATCGGTTCAGCCAATCGCTAGATAATCGGGCACATAAAGGTCAAACGGACCTTTTTTTTCTTTTTGAAATTTTTGTTATTTTTAAACATGAATTTTAAAATTCTGAATAATACTTATTAACGACTTGAATGTGAATAAATACATGACAATACCACGCAATGTCATATTTAAAAAAAGTTTGAATTTTGTAATACCTACCTATTAGATGTTGCGTGTATAATAAAGATGTGAGAAAAAAACTATTTAAGACTGTAAATCACAAGCCATGTGACATTTTTGTTGATGTAAGTTTTGAGATGATATAAAATGTCGATGCGAGTCAAAGTATAGGCAAAATTATTTCTGGAGAAACTCAGTATTTCAGGATCGATGTAGGTAATTCAACCCTTGCACTACACCATCCATAAATTTGTTCTGCAGACTATAGTGACGTCACTTACAATCACCTGACTGAAACTATCGTTAGATATTGATGTGTAATCAGTTAAGTTCATTGATTACAATGCAAGGTTTTAATTGTAATTTGTAGGTAATCTATCTACGCTTCAGGTGGAGTTGGGCAGAACAGATGTCCTCCTCGTGTCTAGCCCGTTGACTAGACATGAAGACGGCCGAATGGTAGACTAATTTTGGACAAAGAGCCAGGGTTGTCCAAAAAGGTGTTGTGCAGACGATATTTTTATAGAAGCTAGAAGTAGATAGATAAAGGATGTACCGAGAAGTGTGGTAGAAAAATTGAGATACTTATACCCAGCAATGGGCGAACCTGCAGCTGTAGCCAAATGCCATTTAGAGCTTATCTACATGTAGAATAGTAAACCAAATTATATGGAATTGACGTAAATTTTGACACTTGTCAGTGTCATCCCCATACATTTTGATTTATACTCTCTCTGTAGATAAGCGCCACAGATGATACACTATAAAATAGCTAGGTAAGATAAGCGCTAAAGTGGCGTTTGGCTAAAGCCCCTGGGTTGAAATGATAATGGTAATAAATTATCTACTGCCTGCTTTGCTCGTTTTAATGGCTCAAAAGATTCTATTGACCCCTCAAGGTCTCAAGTTTCAATTTGTTTCAATCTTTGTAGTAAAATCGGTTTAGCAGTTTAGGAGTCCAACTCAAGCAAGCATACAATCAATAAATATATATTTTAAAATGTGTAGATAAGATGTTGCAAGTTGGCGTCATTCAAGGGACATAAAAAAGTAATTGACAATAATAAACAAAGATTACAATGCAGTATTTGTATTGTACGGGGAATTTACAATACTAGAATACCTAAATAAAACACATTATGTCAACGCTCTTTAAATGTATAATCTGAAACTGTTCAAATAGAATAGAGAATATTTCCTTCTTTGTATATCAGTTAAGGTTCAAATCAATTCACTTGAATGCATCTATAGTGCACAGGGTGGTCTACAATTTTAATATAATATTTTTAAGAATACATAAGGACGGGTCATTTAATCTTTTTTTTTCATGGCATAAGCCGGTAAACGAGCAGACGGATCACCTGGTGGTAAGCAATCGGCGTCGCCCATGGACACCTGGAACATCAGAGGCGTTACAGGTGCGTCACCGGCTTTTTGGGGATAAGGACTTTGAGGATCGTTGGGGATCGTAGGTAATTGGGCCTTCGGTAACCTCACTCACACGACGAAACACAACGCAAGCGTTGCTTTACGTCAGTTTTCTGTGAGGCCGTGGTATCACTCCGGTCGAGCCGGCCCATTCATGCCGAAGCATGGCTCTCCCACACTCCTTATAATTGATTAATCATTACTCGAGAATAATTAATTTGTGTTTAAGGGGATTACAAAAAAATGACACCAGTGGGAGGGGGCAGGTAGGGGAACTCTTTTTTCGTCTCTAATGGTTCTCAACCATAATTCTCTTCTAAAATAATAGTCACAAATAATACAAAATCATATAGGTATTTTTATTTTTATAACAATAGGTAAACAATATCTGCTATTTTAACAATTATTTCTTATTGTACTTGTAGAATCCCTCGCCGGATTTAATTCCATATTTTCCTTCAGCCACCATTTTCTCAAGCAGTTCGATTGGCGCGAAAACCTCGTTTTTAGTCATAGAGTATAGAGCTTGTTGGGCCAACCTGTTGGTGTCCAAACCTGTGTAGTCAGCCAGCTCGAATGGGCCCATTGGAAGACCAGCTCCAAGCTTCATACCAATGTCTATATCCTCCTTGGAGGCATCACCTGGACAAGAATTATGTAACATGTTAAAAACCACACCAAAATAAAACCCATTTAAAGCAAACATATAATTATCAATAATGGCATCTTGGGACCACCAAAATAGAAGCAGGAAGAAGGTTGTAATTAGGAGTGCCATATTATTTCATACTATAAATTATCTACAATAGATACTTACATAACAATAATATTAAAAATCCCACTAAAGCAATTTCAGCATGCAAATCACACCAAACACCAACACATGAATAATAATAATTTTCCTCAAAGGAAGGTAATAAATATTATACATAAATAAATACTATTATTAAGCGGTTCATCAGTCTGCCTGTTTGTCTGGATGCAATATATTGACGATTAGACGCAGTTATTATGTTTAATAACAATCAAGTAAAAAGTGCAGAACCTATCTGTTGTATAGTTTTTATACTTTTCTTAATAAACATAATGATTTCTAATGTATTATTTTGAAATGCGTATACTCAAGTGCCATATTGTTAAAATCCGGTATGGTTATATTTTTCTATGTAACCTGGTACATTACATTACATCCTTGTACATTATTGAAATCAGAGGCTGTAGCCAAATGCTATTTAGCGCTTGTCTACACGTAGAATAGAAAACCAAATTATATGGAATTGACGTAAATTTTGACACTTATCAGTGTCATCTCCATACATTTAGTTTTCTACTCTCTCTGTAAGCAAGACAAGCGCCAAAGTGGCGTTTGCACTGCTTTACACACTTTCTAAGAGTCAGTATGTAGATGCTCTCGATACACACACAATAACATATAGGTACTTAAGTACACATTTAATGCCCATCCAGACAAATTTACGAAGAAAAGGTAAAAGCATAGTACACTATTAAGGCAGCTGTTTAGGTACAAGATAAAACTTCATTTATTTTACACCCAGCCCCTATTGAACTTTGGCAATGTACATCCTATTCTGCTCATGTCTAAAATAGATACAACCACAAAATAACCAGTAGATAAGACAAAGCCCAACTCACCATAAAACAAAACCACCTATTTATACCATCTGTATTAACAGAAGTGTTACTTAAATGCTACTGACCTCTTTCCAGCATTCTAATAGCCTCAGCAGAGTACGGTCCAAGGAGTCTGTTGACAACAAACCCGGGCGTGTCCTTGCAGGTGATGCAGGTCTTGCCAACAGACTTGCCCCACTCCATCATAGTCTGGTAGGTATCTTCCGAAGTGCTATCGCATTTTATAACTTCCAGCAGTCTCATCACAGGCACTGGGTTGAAGAAGTGAAGACCGCCATAACTGGAATTAGAGATTGGATTGTAAGTTTTGATTTATTTCAAGACTTTATTCAGGACAGAAAAATTTAGTATGGATTCAAGAATACTTAGGTGTTGATTGGTTGGTAAGATTAGTAAAAAGTCGCAAAGGGTACTTCGTCTCCTTACTTTGTCTCACAGGTGATTCAATGAGGTGAGCCGGTTGACGACAACGTACATGATGCTTAGACGCAGTAGTATAGGTTTTAATTGCGACCAAAATGCTTTCGAAATGAACAAAGACTCACCGGTCCTTTCTTTGGATTCCAGCGCCGATGGCATTGACAGAAATGCAGGAAGTGTTGGTGGCGAAGATCGTGCGTGGTGGTGACAGCTGGAACCAGAGTATGTGACACTTGAGTGACCATCATCGTCGTATTACGTGTATAGGCTACAAGACATCAACTGCTGTACATAGGCTTCCCCCAATTAGTTACTTTCAGATCGGCCCGGTATTGAGTCTAGTAAAGGCGAAGGTTAAATATAACTACAGAAAACAGGTTACCCTATTTCAATATATTTTTCTTAAATGGATTTTCGATCATATTACCAAATGATAAAGTTGACAATCTATTGGAGACAGGTTGGGTATGTAAGTATGTTGATTGGTTGGACTTACTAAACTATATAAGGTGCTCTATAATTTTTAGCCACGGCTTTAATGGGAGGTAGTGTTATGTTTACAGATTACAATTGTGAAGAAATTTCGTGCCCCGGACCAGTTAATTACATACAGTAATTAAGTAAACATTGACTACATTCTGCATAATGTGGTTCACAAATTACGCGCGATGCGTCGCTTAGTCAATGAAAACAATTGCTATCTCTTTCCACGTGTACTGAGAATGAAAACGGAAATCAGCTGACTAGTTCGTCACTATCTAATCTACTAGATACTCAATAGGCAGGCTAACAAGGGTTTTAAAAGTGCAATTACTTACCAGGTACGGCATTCTTCCGAAAAGCTGATGTAGGTAAATAAGATTATAAACTTCCCATCACACTTAAAACAGTTTTTTACACACTCTCTACCTACTTATCTACAAAACTGTTGCACAAGTCCACCTTCGCGTTGCACACAAATGAAGGCACGCTTCCAAACATGTCATATCACATTATTTAATGCGTCCGTTTCACTTTTACTATGTTTCGCGTTTGATTTAAAAGACGCCACAAGTTATTGTCTCTATCATCGTAAACTCCGGCAGTATCCCTTGTGCTCGCAAGAGGATGACACCGAAAGAACTCTAACACTTCCTCTTCGAGTTCTGATTAGAATTTCGTCGCCTGGGAGTCATTTTTACGTAGCGCGCGCGTATCCCCGACATTGAAACTAACAACGTCCGCGCAGGCAGGGGTTGACTGGGCTACTGGCGGCCGGGCAGCGCGTGCGACGAGTTCTGCTGGCTGGGGTGTGCTGTCTCGTTCTTGAACGCCCCGTCATACGCTGTTGCCATCCTTATCAGTAGCTCAACCCCCGCCTGCCCGGCGGCCGGTTGACCAGCGCGTGCGACGAGTGTAGGAGAGGGTGCGGGCGCGCGGGGGTGTGCAGCGTGCTCGTAGCCGCCCGGCGCGAGCGGTCTGATAAGGATGGCAACAGCGTATGACGGGGCGTTCAAGAACGAGACAACACACCCCAGCAGAACTCGTCGCACGCGCCGCCCGGCCGCCAGTAGCCCCGTCAACCCCTGCCTGCCCGCACGTTAGTTTTAATGTCGGAGATACGCGCGCGCTACGTAAAAATGACTCCCAGGCGACGAAATTCAAATCAGAACTCGAAGAGGAAGTGTTAGAGTTCTTTCGGTGTCATCTTCTTGCGTGCACAAGGGATACCGCCGGAGTTTACGATGATAGAGACAATAACTTGTGGAGTCAAACGCGAAACAAAGTAAAAGTGAAACGGACACGTTAAATAATGTGATATGACATGTTTGGAAGCGTGCCTTCATTTGTGTGCAACGCGAAGGTGGACTTGTGCAACAGTTTTGTAGATAAGTAGGTAGAGAGTGTGTAAAAAACTGTTTTAAGTGTGATGGGAAGTTTATAATCTTATTTACCTACATCAGCTTTTCGGAAGAATGCCGTACCTGGTAAGTAATTGCACTTTTAAAACCCTTGTTAGCCTGCCTATTGAGTATCTAGTAGATTAGATAGTGACGAACTAGTCAGCTGATTTCCGTTTTCATTCTCAGTACACGTGGAAAGAGATAGCAATTGTTTTCATTGACTAAGCGACGCATCGTGCGTAATTTGTGAACCACATTATGCAGAATGTAGTCAATGTTTACTTAATTACTGTATGTAATTAACTGGTCCGGGGCACGAAATTTCTTCACAATTGTAATCTGTAAACATAACACTACCTCCCATTAAAGCCGTGGCTAAAAATTATAGAGCACCTTATATAATTTATGTCTTTCTATGTGATCCAAATGCCCATCATTTATTATTCATTCAATTTCGTATATAAAACCTACTTACAACACAACTGTACATAAATTTTGATGTTCAAAGTCCTTAACTAAGATATATTATTATTATTATTTAGGTTTTACTCCATTATTCATAAAAATTTTCACAGTTGTACTGTTATGTGCTGTGTTTAAATTTACATATTAATTATATTATATGATAGTAGTATGTTCTTGTTGGTATCTATGCAGTTGAAGACTACACATTATTCAGACTTAGTATTAAATTATGACTAAAAACTATGTACCTAATGTCTTATGCAAATGGTAGATTTTCGTCATGTCTGACTAATGAGGAAGCTATTGTTGATAAATTCTGAATATCTAGTACCTATACGGAAGCGAAGACTTACCACATCAAGTTTATTAAACAGCTCCTGTTTAACATCCAGCTTCTCCACAATAGCTTCCACAATCAGGTCTACATCAGCCCCATCTTCCAGGTTGGTGGACACACGGATCCTCTCAGCGGACTCCTTCACGAAGTCTGCAATCTTGGCCTCATCACCCTTGTACAATTTCTTACCAACTCTTGTAAGATTTGTGTGAATGGACTTCTGGGCTTTTTCTAGTAGTTCCGGGTTGATGTCTATTATTGTCACATTCTGACCGGCTTGTGCTGCAACCTGTGTGAATGAATTGTTTATAATAGAATTCTTTCCTACATAGTATAAAACAAAGTCGCTATCCGCCGTCTGTCTGTCCCTATGTATGCTTCGATCCATAGAACTACGCAACGGATTTAGATGCGATTTTTTTTATAGAGTGATTCTTAATGAAGGTTTAGATGTATAATACACGCATATTGCACCGAAGCCGGGGCGGGTCGCTAGTAATTGATAAGGCTCACTCCTTAATATACGAAAGTCATAACATAGATGAGAATAGTTGCTCCTATACCTATATCTTCGGGGAATATTTGTTTGCTTTCTGAAGGGAAATGTGAAGAAACCTTCACGTCATGCAACTAATAGGAATATAGGCAATGTATTACTATTGTGTTGAAAGTCAAGTATTAGTCTTATCAATTAAATATTGGTTACTGGCTTTCAAATTTTGATTTTTAATTTTAATAGGCATTTTTTCTAAGTTTTACATTTCTTTTATTATATAAGAGTGTCATGAAAGATATATTTTATATATATATCTGATATCAATGACTTGTTATCATTTAGGATTAATGGTAGAGTTTTACTACAATGTATTATAAATCTTATCAGACAAAAAGTATATTAGTTACAAAACAGTTACCATATATAAACTTTAACAATGTTGCATCTATTTAGCATATTAATATTGTGAGAATAACACTAATTCCCATTTTATATATGCAAAACAGGTGCATTTAAATGGAAATATAATAAATTAACAGTTTAGGTCTAAAGGTTGGAATGCCAGGGTAAGGATATGCTCTTGAATTAAAACTGTTCAAGGAGTAATACAATTTGTAGCCAGTATCAATTGTAGCCAGGAGTTAGGCAGAAAACTAAAGTAGGTATTTTTAAACTGTATTATTTAGACCTCCCGTTACAGGAGACTAATGGCTAAACTGACAGACATTTATAATATTACTAGGGTAGTAATTATGAGGGTTAAAATCAACAATCACAATATAGTGGTATGCATGGGTAGTCATAATATTTAGGAAAAGTATACATTATATATACATATACTACTATAGATAGTATTATATACATATATATATATATATATAACGATAGATAGTAGTTAGTCTACAACTAAAGAACATGTTTACAATAGACCACATTAACTAGAAAATTACCCTACTCCTACAAATACATGTTGAGTAGCTATTAAATAACAGCGACCTAGTAATAAATTCACAACGTTACGTATCAAAGAGAAAGTTTTTGTGTTTGTGCTAGATAAGCAAAAATAACTTACCTGTGCGATTCCCGATCCCATAAGACCACCGCCGACAACAGTCACCGTTTTAACAGCATTTAAAGACGCGGAGGATGAGAAACTCCTCGTTATACCGATTAATTTATTCATATTTAGCGTTTTCTATGTGTTGTTCAAGCAAAAGCCGGTCGAGTAATGACGTATCGAAATAAACAACTTGCTGCTCAAGTTGTAGAACTTTGTACCCAATTTTATGTTATAGTTAAAGCTACAAGTCTGTTTTGTAGGAAACGATGCGTAAAATGTAACTCGTTTGTCAAAGTTATTATCACTTAATATTTGTACATGATCGGACAAAGTGCAAATACTGATAATGTTTAAAAACAGCCTTATCACACATCGCGTTGGTGGTCTTACAATCTCACTTACCTGCCATAAAGGGATCTGTAGCTTATGATAACACTATACATTTCTGATAAACTGTAAGATAAAATGAAAATTTATTAGAATAAAAATTATAAGAAAATCTTGTGTTTATTTATATGTCAACGTTCCTTTTTAGTCAGGAAAAATGTTGAGCCAGATGTTACAAATTATAATCTTTCAATACACCATTTAAGCCTGTACTTTTGAAACTATAATATGAAAGCTTCTGTAAATAATAACACAATCATGTTACTAGAAACATTTATTCATGATAAATCAAAATGAAAACTTCAAAGGACGTGTAAACAATGCGTGTATTGAAACGTATTGGAAAACCACATGTTGATTTTTGACATAAACTGTATAGTTCAGAAATAAACTCGCTTTGAAAACTTCCTCATGAAGTTTGTCAGTCGTCATGTCGTCATAATATTTTGAAAACCTATTTTATTTTTAGTTGTTTTTGAACGATTAAGAAGCAGTACCATGATTTCTAGATTTTCTAGTTTCATTTTCAACACTCAATAGATTTTAATTTAAGTTTCATTTTTCCGTTAAACTGAATGGATTAAGGACATAGTTACTCTTGTAACGTTCCAAAATTTTTGCATTATATAGATAATACTTGATTACTTGCCTATAATATTTAAAGGCTATTAGTAGTCACTAGTCAGTATTCACCACAGGGATGAGGGAGACACTTTCGTTTCGTTCGAGAACATAGTGAGTTCTTCCCGTAGTACGAATTAGCACTTAGCAGCAACACTTTTTTTTATTCAACCTGCATCTGTCAAACCATCCCATTGAACTTTGGAGTTTCAATTTTATAACTTTTGAAGAAGTTTACCGAACACAAACTGTGATATAATTCTTAAAAAAAATTAACTGTTAGCCAAAATAATGACGAAATTAGTTCAATTTGGCGTGATAGCGAGGAACTTTTCTAGTTCTTCTGCTATGCAAAGTGCAATCAAGAATGTTACAGTTATCGGTGGAGGCCTAATGGGCTCCGGCATCGCCCAGGTATGCTGTAAACAGATTTAGTACTAAATTATTAATAAAAAAATGCGGGGTCTCATTTCAGGACGTACATACCATCCCACATTATTTAACAAGATGGTTAAATAAATCTGAAATGTTACCTACCTGCACTTTATCTTTACATTCATCCTGATAAATGACACTATTAGTTATTATATGTATGAATAAACTACTTCTCTACCACTACAAATTATTACACATTATTTTGATACACCTACTTTTGAATTTAGAATAATTTATTCACTCAATTACTTTAGGTACTTTTTTCACTAAAGCTATATATTTATTTGAGTTTTTGTGAATTAAATTGATGTCAACTAATAAAACTTAATATATCAACAGGTGTCGGCTCAAGCAGGCCAGAATGTGATCCTGGTTGATGTAAGCTCCGATGTGTTGGCGAAATCTCAGAAGTCTATTGGTGCCAACCTCGGCAGGGTGGCTAAGAAGATGTACAAGGATAAACCTCAGGAGGGAGAGAAGTTCGTGACTGATGCTATGGCCAGGATCAAGACTAGCACTGACCCCTCCGAGGCTTCAAAGTCTGCTGACCTTGTTGTTGAGGCTATTGTTGAGAACATGAGTGTGAAGCACAAGCTGTTCTCTCAACTTGATGCGGTAAATATTATTAATTATTATGTGTCATCAGTATTTTCAGACAAAATAATTCTGTTTTATTCTCTTTCAAAATTTTAGAATCCTATAAAATCAACTTATAAAAGACATTATTCAAGGTTCTCATATTAAGATAACAATCATGATTATAATAAATGAATATTATTATTTGCAGGTAGCACCAAACCATACAATCTTTGCATCCAACACTTCATCATTATCTATCAATGAAATCTGCTCTGTAGTGAAGAGGAAAGACAGGTAACATTACTTGTATAGTTACAGCAGCATGACATAACATTACATTTATTATCAATCAGTTATCTAACTAAGCTAGTCTTTGCAAGTCAGTGTAATAGAACTAGCTATGTAATTATGTTTGGTTTGTAAGACATGACAAGTCACTTAACTTGTGAGTATGACTTTTTTGCAATTGTGCAAATAATGCAACAAAACACTGTAAAGTATTTTTTGCTTGTAATTGTTTTATATATTTCCATTTATACCTATTTGTATGTAACATAGCACCACATTATATTCTTCATATATAACATAAAATATTTCTAACTTTGTAAAAAACCTTCAGATTTGGTGGTCTACACTTCTTCAACCCCGTGCCTGTAATGCGTCTGTTAGAAGTGGTCCGAGGAGCTGAGACTTCTGATGCTACCTACAAGACCATGATGGAGTGGGGCAAAGCTGTTGGCAAGACTTGCATTACCTGCAAGGACACGCCTGGGTTTGTGGTCAACAGGCTCCTAGTGCCCTACATCTGTGAGGCCATCAGGCTGTATGAAAGAGGTAAACACATGTTTTGTGTAATGAAGATATTTGTTGTTCTTGGTCTTTTCCTTTTTCTGGTGGCCTGTTTCCACTTCGCCGCCCAGCAGCAGTAAAATAAATAAAGTATGTAAATGTTTTTGTTTTCCAGGCGATGCATCAGCCCGTGACATCGACACCGCCATGAAACTAGGTGCGGGCTACCCCATGGGACCGCTCGAGCTCGCCGACTACGTAGGACTCGACACCAACAAGTTCATCCTTGACGGCTGGCACAAGAAGTACCCTGACCAGCCTCTCTTCAACCCTATCCCACTGCTGGACAAACTGGTAGCTGAAGGCAAACTTGGTGTGAAAGCTGGCGAGGGCTTCTACAAATACGATAAGAAATAAGAAGTTGAATTTATGTATTGTTAAGAATCATGTTTGAATCAATATACCCATGTTAAAATTTTTAAAAGATTTTAATTATAAAATATATACTGTATTATTTTTACATGTGAAGTTTCTTTTCCGTTGATCCCTAGTTGAAATGAAAAGTAATGCTGCAGTAAAATTTATCCATTTATTTGTTTTTATAAGTACAATACATAAATGTTAATGAAAATTATTTTGCAGTAAAAGTTACACTGTCACTAAGAAATAAAGATAAAAGCTGATAATTTTATGATGAGCAATTTCTATACCTTATTGATTACATTATCAGGAAACAAATAATCTCGTACACTATTATTAATGGAAGTATTATTGAAAATTAAGAACTTCACAGTTACTATGTATTATAATAATAAGTCATCTTGTTACATGACGGAAAACATAAAACATTCCATGAATGTAATGTCCACACAGGTACCTAAATATAATATATTAATTTATATTTATAAGGAAATATAGTAGCACATTAGTGAATTCACAATGTGTAGGAAATGTTCTTACAATGGTATCCCAAACATAATTTGAAACAGTTGGTAGCCTAATGATGACACATTGTCACACAACTTTCATAGCAGAATACATTTCCTTCAATTGAAGTCCAGCTTTTTTTACTGTAGTTGAACATTTTGTGCACGATAGTATGATAGTTTCCAGTAAACTGAAATATTATATCTCAATAAAAAAACATGCAACCCAATTGAAGTACTTAGGCCAAGCATTTATGGCACCAGTTGCGTGCTTGCGGCCTTAAATTATTGCTAAATCAATTCCAACAGCAAGCTAGTCTATTTTGTGTGCAAGTTTACTGTCTCCAAACTATTTTAGTATATTGCTACTAGCTAAAGGAAAGGCTAACTTACTGTAAAGAACTTGAGGAAATCCACAATAAAAACCAATTACATTGTTATATTAAAAACCTACTATGAACCACACCAAACCTTTCAATTTCCTCACTTTAGAAATATTTCTAAAACTGTTCTCAGGTAAGTTGACAGACAACTGAAACAATTGTCACTAAACTAAAAACTAAGCAAATGATTTAGGGCTCTAGCAAACAAGTTACATGAGACAGCTTCGTCCCTCATTGTGTACTAATGACTTGGCCATTATTGTGTCACCTGACAGCACCACCATTTGATTTGCTGCAACTTTTGTTTCCATACTCAAATCAGTTTACATTGCATATCCTGGTTATCATTTGGTCAGCTAACTGACTGTGCTACACTCTGGAAGCTGTCTGAAGTAACTTGTAAGCAGTCAAATGCCTCAATATATCAACATCAAGGGCCTGCTAGCTTGTATATAGTCTGTGGCAATTTAGGCATGGCCGGCTTATCTGCCATTTCGAGTGCTTGCTTCAAGTTCTTCTCAAAAACTTTCTTGGCATCACAGAAACCTTGCTTTGTTTTGCCAAATGAATTTGGTCCTGCTGATGTTGGTGTTTCCCTAAAACAAAAAAACATTTTTTTAGTATGATCCATGTTACATTTAACCAAATATAATTATTAGAATTGATAATTACCAACTAATAAATCAAATATTTTTGTAGTTAAAACAGTTTTAATTATCTCGATGTGGAAAATCCATAATAGAGGTAGTTATGGATAAAATTAGATTATAATTTTGTATGGTCAACAATATTAACTCATTGAGTACCGTCATTATAGATACAATTAAAGAACAATAGGTCGCAGTCACCAGTGACCGCTTGGTGTTTGACAGTTTAAGAGTATGTTCCAGAAATCAGCTGGATCTGTCTATAAAATTTTGACCCAATCAAACATGGATCAAGCAATTAAAACCATTTAAAATTGGACTATGTCCTCACCTGCCAATGTTCCTCATTCTCATGCGTGCCTCTGCAGGCATTTCTTCAGGCTCATCATCATCATCAGCATTAAATACAGATGCTATAGTTGGCTTGGCAACTGGTTTGGCTGGACCACTAATGTTCATCTTGATAGGAGCTTTTGGTTTGTTGAAGCCGATTGATATTTTGGTGATGCGAGGGGGAGGGGGAGGTGCAGGTACATCCTCTGGTTCATCCCAATCTTGATCATGTTTGTGACTCCTCTCTAAACCAAATAAAATTACGTAGGTAATTTATTATAGTCATGATTGAGTTGTTAATATTGTCAAATTTATTATTATAATATTGTTATAACATTAACACAATATAGGTCACATACATGAATGATTCTACTAAAAATCATCAATACTCTTACCTTCATAGTTCCTCCCATCTCTATCTCTGCTGTTGGAAGATCTGCTGGGTGAGTAGTCGTCATTGCTAGCAGTATTGCGCGCTGGAGACCACCGCCGCGGGGAGCGCGACCTCGAACGTCTACGTTCAGCCCTGTCCCGGCCATCGCGCCTTTCCTTGTACAGCCTAGAATCATCGCGCGTGGATCGAGACGACCCTGCCAATGCGAAAACACTGGCAAAGATAAATAAAAATACATATTTGAGTATACTAACACTAGAATATTGATATTACTGCTCAAGTAGCAGTTTATAGCAAAGATTTTGAAGTATATTCATTTCATGCCATTCTAATACCTTTGTCGTAATCCCGGTAACGTCCACTCATTGTTGATTTGTTTCTAACAAATTTCAGTCATTAGAATCGTTGAAAACATGCAACAATTCTTATTTTTTCAGACAATCAAATATATACCACTGCGATTTGCACTACCACGACAGAATGTCGCCATATTTCTTTGGTCTTTTCGTATTGAACAAAACGTTTTGTTACGCGATTGAGGTATTGAATTCATTTATTATTCCAATAAATTAAAATAAAATACACTATTAAACAATTAACACAATAAACTTTAATCAATATTATTGATACAAAAATGGACGAACTTCAAATTATATTCTTCTAAAACAAATTATCTTTTTTAACATTAAGTTCCGTTTTATTACTGCATCAGCACGATAAAGTTATACGACCAAAATCAAAAGTGTTCTGTTGAATTTGTTGATAATGGGTTTAGCTTCTAATTTGGTACGAAAACAAATACTTTTTAATAAACCAGAACGTTATTTATGAAATATCAGCTGACTGAAATGACACTGACAATGACAATAATCTGAGATATTAGGTTGTACTCGGTTGTAGGTTAGATTGGTTATAAAATGTTTGTTTTTATTTTACTTTCATTGAAACAAATTTGATTTCTGTGAGTTATAAATATTAAAATGTTATACATTAGGCGTTTACAGCGTTTATCAAAGCTGATTAGTAGTGCTTCCTCAAGTAATTGTCGATGTTATTCCGACACACAACGATTTGCTTCTGTTAAAGAAAAAATAAAACAAGGGCCAGGTTTGAAAGATTTTATTACTGAAAGTTCTCAACCAGTTATCACTGATCGTCCTTTTATACCGTATTTGCTCGAAAATGATAGAATTAAGGCAAAGAGAAAAGTTTTCTTTGATGTATATGGTTGCCAGATGAATCTTAATGACACAGATATAGTTTGGTCTATCTTAAAGAAAGAAGGTTTTGAGAAGACAGAAGTTGAAGAAGAAGCAGATATATTCTTAGTGATGACATGTGCGATACGAGAAGGTGCGGAAACAAAGATCTGGCATCGTTTAGACCATCTCAGAGGGTTTAAGAGGCGCGCTAAAGATCGCTCCGTAAAGATTGGCATTCTGGGCTGTATGGCGGAGAGACTGAAGGAAAAATTGATTGAAAAAGAAAAAGCTGTTGATGTTGGTAGGTAGACATTGGCCCACTCTATTATTTTACACATTGTTTGATACAAACCGAAAGTAAGTAGCTACTAAGTAAGTAACTGACAAACGGTGAAGGAAAACATCGTGAGGAAATCTGGGCTTATAATTTCTAATTATAAGTTTGAAATTACCAACCATCATTGAGCAAGTGTGGTGATTAATGCTCAAACCTTCTCCGTGTGAGAAGAGGCTTTGCTCAGCAGTGGACATTTATAGGCTGTTGATGATTGATGAATTAACTACAAAATACAAAACTAGTACCAATCACTTTTTAATTACAGTATCTTAATATTATGATTTACATTCTAGTTGTAAAAAACGAAAATAACAAGCATTTAATTATTCTATTTTAAATATATCATAAGTAAAAATGCAAAATACTTATTGATTGAGTAATGATTGTGTTTCAGTGGCTGGACCGGACAGTTACCGAGACCTTCCTCGTCTGCTGGCCCTCACAGAAAACGGGCAGCAAGCAGTCAATGTATTGCTATCTCTAGATGAGACATATGCTGATGTGGTGCCAGTGAGGCTGAACCAAGATAGTGTGTCGGCTTTTATGTGAGATCATTTTATACTTGAAAATCAAACAGAATTGTGGAGGATATAGTTGATACTGATTACTGACATTTATATTACATAGACATACATACATTCATAACTTCACGCCTGTCTCCCATGGGGGTAGGCAGAGACTAAGGAACGCCAATTACTACGATTCTTACATACCTCTTTCGCTTCATTAACAGTCATCAATCTTTTCATGCATGCTCATTGGTTAAGGGTACTTTTAATTTGGCCCTTCTTTAATATATCGCCAATCTGGTCACTATATGTCCGTCTAGGGCGCCCTCTACCGACGGCCCCATTCATATCCGCTCTGTATACTTCTTTCGTTACTCTACTTTCATCCATCCTTTCTACATGTCCTTTCCGCATATTACATAATAATATCTTATAATAATATCTTTATTATAAAATATGGAATACGTGATAAGTTCACCAAGAAAGCCTTATTTTTGAAAAACCATGAGATTTCCTGATTTGGTGAATGTCTTTGATAAAGTAACTTATTGTTCTTGTTACTGACTGTTCCTATCCATCCATCTGCAGGCGATATTCTACAGCACAATAAAAGAAACACATATTATTTAATTATTTTATCTTGCAGTTCAATAATGCGAGGTTGTGACAACATGTGTACTTACTGCATCGTCCCTTTCACTCGTGGCCGGGAGCGTTCACGTCCTGTGTCCTCCATTGTGGACGAAGTACGACAGCTGGCTGACCAGGGAGTCAAGGAAGTCACCCTGTTAGGACAGAATGTCAACAGCTACCGGGATGTCACGCAAACCACTGAGAAATTTGATACTCATTTAGCTAAAGGTGAGAGTCAAAGTCAAAGCATTTATTTAAATAAAACCATTTTTGAAACATCAACATAAAAATCCTTACTTTATTATATTATAAATCGGAAAGTGAGTTTGTTTGTTTGTTTGTTTGTTCCGCTTTCACGCCGTAATTACTAAACCGATTGCTTTAAATTTTTGCAGACGTAAATTAAGAAGTCTGGATTAAATAATAGGGTTTTTATCCCAGAAAAATTTGATATTCTCGAGGCAAAACGAAATTATTGGTATAGATGGCGCTGTGTGTATTGGTATGTGTCACAAAGGATACTTTTTATCCTTTTGTGACGCGAGCGAAGCCGTGGGTAAAAGCTAGTATAAAATAAATTATAGTCTGTCAGTCTGTAGGTCAGTGAAGCTAGGCGCTCGTTCTAAAATGTAGATTCAAGTGGAGAAGAACGAGGAAGAAGGTCCATTTGTTACTCTTTTATAAAAAATTGTTTTACAATCTCTCTGATACACTGTCCACTGTCGTACGCATATGTGAGAGCAATGCTTAAAGCGTAAAGACACGGCATTATACAAATTACAAAACTTACTAAAATAAAAATACGTAGATTTTTGATGGTTTAGATTTGAATTCGTTTATCCTAATTTCTCAAACTGTTTTTCAGGATTTAAAACTGTTTATAAAACTAAAAAGGGTGGCATGAGGTTTGCTGACCTGTTAGACAAGGTATCGTCAGTGGATCCTGAGATGAGGATCCGATTCACTGCTGCACATCCTAAAGATTTTCCCGAAGAGGTAATAGATTTAATCATGTGTTCATCATAACTAATGTTTTCACTCCTTTTGGGCGTCTATAATAATCATTATTTACTAAGTAACAAAATCCTTCAAAATATCTTTAAAAATGTTTGTAACACCTATAAATCCTTACTTTTAGGTCTTGACTGCCTCGTTGGCCGAGTGGTCGTAGGTGCGACTGCCGGGCAAGGGGTCTCGGGTTCGATTCCCGGGCAAAGTATTCCTGGGTTTTTTAAATATTCTCAATAGTAGCACGGAGTCTGGAATTGTGCCTAGTATATGGCAATAGGTTCACCCCCTATTACATGGGACTCAAAACATAAATAGTGAAAAGTGGGTGTTACATTGTACAGTGGGCATTGTACATAATGAGCACCTCTGCCTATCCCTTTGGGGATAAAATGCGTGATGTTATGTTATGTTTTAGGTCTTGCAAATAATCTCGGAGCGTCCCAACATTTGCAAATTGTTGCACTTACCGGCGCAGTCAGGCTCCAGCGCAGTGTTGGAGCGCATGCGCAGAGGGTACACGAGGGAGGCGTACTTACAACTTGTAGATGAAGTGAAAAGGACTATTCCGGGAGGTTAGTGTGCAAGTGCTTTTCAAAAGTAAACTTTATGTATTAAGTATAATTTTCCATGCTTCCTAAATGTTCCTAGAAATTAATGCCGCCTTGATAACTATATGTCATGAATTAACCTTTATATATCCTTACTTCCTTACTAATATTATAAATCGGAAAGTGAGTTTGTTTGTTTGTTCCGATTTCACGCCGTAACTACTAAACCGATTGCTTTGAATTTTTGTAGACGTAAAGTTAGAAGTCTGGATTAAATAGTAGGGTACATTCTATCCCGGAAAAATTTGATATTCCCGAGGGAAAACAAAAGTACTGGTATAAATGGCGCTGTACATATGTGTTGGTATATGTCACATAGGCTACTTTTTATCCTTTTGTGACGCGAGCGAAGCCGCGGGTAAAAGCTAGTTCAGAATAAGGTTGAAATTGCTTTAAATGTACAGAAAACGTCTTTGTTCTAGTGGGTCTATCAACAGACATGATCTGCGGTTTCTGCGGTGAGACAGAGGAGGAGTTTGAAGAAACACTCTCACTCATGGAGATGGTGGACTACAATATTGCGTTCCTATTCCCTTATAGTATGAGAGAGGTAAGATTTAATTACATGTTATACATGAATCTGACGTCTACGTCTAATTAACAGGTTTTTTTGTGCTATAATACTCTTAGGCACCGTACATCGCTGTGTTTATGTTGATCTCGTTTGATAGATAAGAAAAAGGGTTTTCTTTATCTATTTTTTTCAAAAATAGCAGATCCCGCAATCTTCGTACCGCCTGAAATTTTGTAAAAATTAGGGGCGTCTGTGAGTTGCTTGCTTAGGGCGCCCTCTACGTTTAATCGGCCGCTGGTGGGGCGTCTTTTAGTAATTGTTCTCTATTTGTCTGTCACAGAAAACAACAGCCTACCGCCGCTACAAAGACGACGTGCCCGACCACATAAAGAAAGAACGTCACAACAGAATGCTAGAAGTATACAGAAGGAAATGTCAACAATTGAACGAAGCAGAAATTGGCAACACTCATTTAGTATTGGTAGAAGGAATCGCGAAGAAATCTGGCAACATTTTAGGTAGGAACGAATTATATTTGAGAGTAGTATTTGAACAAACAGATATTCTGGCTGAAGATGGAGGTTTAAGGCCTGTGAAACCTGGAGATTATGTAGCTGTGAAGATTGTAGGAGCCAGGTCTGCAACCCTAAGGGGCGTGCCATTGTACCATACAAGTTTATGTGACTTCTACAAAGAGAAACAGTGGGGAGAACGACGTGCTGTTAATTAAAATATTAGCAATAAGTATTAAAGTTTACTATCAATATTATATATTGTTTTTATTACATATTTGTTGCGGTTGCGGTGAGCCTATCTGCAAGGTGGCTGGTAGTGGTTCAAGGGGAAGGGCTGAAGATCAGTCACTAGCATTTTATTGAAGTCTGTCCAGCAGTGGTTGGAGAAGAATAAAAATAAAGCCCGACGAACGAAGAAAGCAGATAAAAGTAGCTGTTTTTTTTTTGGTAGAAATAATATCAAGTTTTAGTTGGTGACACTTCGAAAGTGCATTTTATTAGAATCAATCAATCAATCAGTACAAAGTTATCAATCATCAATCAAATACAATGCAACACAATAAATATAGATTATATTACACAGAATACACAATTTGTGACTTTATTTCTACATACAATAAGGCTCAATTTAATATTACAATATATTTACATTTTAGGTATAAAAGTATATTGTTTACAGTTTTATTAATTAGCACACCAAACAGGGTGGAACAGACTAACATTGAGTATTCTTTTATTACAACTGGTATAATTCATCATTTGAAATATTTATGTAACCTACGTAGGTTGTGTAGGTCATAGGCAAGGCACCAAAATTCACCAGGCCTTAGAAATAAGAATTTGTATCTTAATTCCCTTAACATAAAAATAGCATTTGTATATCAGCACATTTAAAATCTTTTTTGTGTTCCATTTTTTTAAGCTCTTGCCTATTATTATGCGATCTTACATTAAAATGAGGTTTTACGAGTTCCACCCTATAATACTAATACAATCAAAAACTTAGACCCGACATAAAAACAAACAGTGAAATGAGTATTTTACAAATTAAAAGAAAATCCAACACAACAAGAATACTCAAATACTGAAACACTTTGTATTATCATCAATTTTACAATTTATTGTCAAGTTGCAGTATTTGAATATTCGAGTATTATTAGGTACTTACTACTTAATTTTAATTAATTACAATTACTGTGATACATGGCATCATTAAACCCTACATTAAATTTGTACTTTTTTGCAAAAATAACGAAAAATATTAAATTACAATAATTATCAGTTTGTGTATTTGTGTGAGAGTGACTTAGATTATTTTTATTAACACGGTTAACGTGCCTTGTGAATTATAATTGCGAATGAAACTAAGAAACTAACTGTTTTTTAGCGTCAACAGATTTTTTAATACAAAGAAATATAGGCTTTTCTGGTTAAAAATACTTTTCGGTTTTGTAGAAGGCAAGCATCATTCACCGAATGCTTCTACATTAATGTCAAACTAAGCTTGAAGCTCCAATCTGTCCGTTGATAATCTTGCCGTTGGGCACAATGTTGACTCTCTGCCCGGACAAGTTGTCGGACCCCTCCGCATGTCCTGACAAGCTCGGCGACGGTCCCTGCGAGCTGCCGTAGACCTTGGTGCTGTACCCGGAGTCGTTGTGTGACTCCCTGTCTGCCAGGCTGTGTGTCTCCGTGAGGTGCGTGTTGATGGCCAGCGACTGCAGGCGGCTGTGCAGCAGACTATGGTCCGGCTTCCTCGTCATTCCATGCGGGTTCCCCCTAAAATTCGGGTACATTGGGTCGTAACACATGCGAAAGTCATTCTGGTTCGCAATCTCCACTTCTGTATTCTGGTCTAAATGCTCGCTGTAGCAGTGAGGTATCCTCTCCATCTCCCTCATGATGTGGTCTTGCATCATGGCATCGAATACGCCAGTTTGATGATGGTATAAAGGGTTTCTGTTCCGCGGCTGTATTTGGTTCGGTAACCCTGACTGATTGTAGTCGTACTGTGGGCAAGGGAACTGTGGCACCGGTAGACCATTGTCCATGTATGGCATCTGTCTATTGGAGATGTCGTGGAAGTACGCGTCTTTCGGTATCATGGACCGTAAGTCATGAGAATAGGGATTCTGTGTCGACATTTGTGCAGGTGATGGAGACTTTGACACAGTCTCGAAATTTGGCATCGGAAGTGTTTGTAAAAGGTTGGTGTTCCTCATCGGTCCCGGCTGCATCGAACTCCTGATTGGATTGTCTTCCTCATCACTACTTTCTGAGTTGTTGCCATTTTCCTTCGGTGGGTTCTGAAAGGTTTTTCTTGTTGGGAACGGTATGAGGTTGTGTAAACTGAACCGTTTGCTTTTCGGTGGTTTCTCTTTTAATACAGGAGCTGGTCTTTGTGGTTGTTGTGGCATTTTCAAAATGCCGGGGTTCTGTTGGCTTGTTGAGGGTACAGTTTCTAAGGTTTCGGTGGGTTGTATTTTCCTAGTCAGAGGTTCTGGAGAGACACGTTGTTCCACTTGCGCCACTAGTTCTTGTACTGACTTTCTATGCTCTCTTTCCATTTCATTGGTTTGATAATTGGCTTGTTTTCTTAGTTTCACGTATCCATCCTGTGATATATCCAAAGATTTGTTGGTCCTTGACATAACGTCAGCCATTTCTTTTTCGAAGGCTACTCGCTTCCTGATATCATCAGCTGTCCGTTGTAGAACCTGACTCTTCCATAAAGGAACATTTTGGTCCTTCGAACTTCGGCCGTCTTCATCTAAGTCACTAGGCTGTTTGTGACTACTGGCCGGTGACTTGGCGTCAGAATGTCGACTGGGCGACCGATACCTTTGGTTGTGATAACTTTCTACTTCCATCGACATTGGCGACTGTGACACCGACATTTTATTTGCTTTTACATGGATCTCTGCTGTGACGTTCTGATGATGACTTTCTTTGTTTATCTTAGAATAAGGAGGTATTGCAAGCCTGCTCGGTCCAGCATCCAACTGGTCACTACTCTTAGAGTTCTTCAACAAGTACCGCTGTCTAGGACTGTCTTGTCGACTGTCCAGGACCTCAGTGCTTTTAGACGTTGCTTTACTATCGTTCAGGTCTTTGGCATTACTTTCATAATGTTCAGCGTTTTTATTGAAGCTCTTTATTATCCTGTGAACTTTATTCCATTCTTCTGTGTCGGCATCCAGTAACTCTAAGCTCCTAGTGCGTTTAAGTGGTGGTATATCTAGTGAACCTTTGGGACTGAAGTCTAATTTTTTAACTCTTTCCGATGCTCTAAACATCATTCCTCTGGTCAGCCAATGTTCTAAGTGTTTATGCCTTTCTTTACACATTGCTCTTTCGGCTGCTACGAATCTCGTCAACTCTGATATTTGTCCTTGTGTTTTCATTTCCAAATCTGTAACTTTCTGATCTAGCCTCTCATGTGCTCTATCGATATGTTTTTTCAGGTCCTTCTTGTCTTCGTTCAATTTATCTTCCATGTGTTTAAAGAAAGGTGCACAATAACAAGTGTACCCAGCGCCTATTGGTCCCTTTTTAATATTCCCAGCCAAATCTAAATAGTACTGCTCGCCTTTTTTCAAAGGTTCGGTGGGTAGCGAGCTTAGTTTTGGTTTTGGGAAGAATTTTGGATCAGGATAGTAATGACAGCCGTACGGAGACCACTGGACTTGCGGAGGTGTTTCGAAGTGCACGTTTTTCTTTCTCTTATCCTTACCTTTCTCTTTCTCTTTTTCTTTCTTTTTGCTTGTGTCTGGTTCGTCCAGTGTTCTGTCTTTGCTTTTATCTCTGTGCTTTTTCTTAGGTTGCTTGGCTACTGGGGTGTTGAGAATAGTGATGATTTCTTCCAATCCTTTCCTGGTGGCTATATCTCTTGCTGTTTCTCCTTGATGGTTACGTATTGCCTTATCGCAGCCGGCTTCGAGGAGTATTCTGGTTAGTTTTCGTCGACCCATTGCTGCGGCGATGTGTAGTGCTGTGTCCCCATTCTTGTTCTGTTCAGAGACTCTGCACTGAGCGGAGATGAGGATGCGGGTGACGCCAGCGTGTCCATACCGAGCTGCCGTGTGGAGCGACGTGTCACCATACTGGAAAATATAGACAACCTGTTAATATATAGTGTCGATGTGAACAGTGAAATCAAATGTTAGACGTGTTTTATCTGATTTTAATATTTTGTATTCATAATCTTAGCATAGGTATGAACATACATTGTTCTGCAAGTCCGGCGGTGCTCCTGCCAGCAATATCTCTCTGCAAGACTGGTTGTGTCCATTCTGGCAGGCGAGGTGTAGCGGCGCGAACCCGGCCGCGTTGCGCGAGCGCAGCTCCGCGCCCGCGTGCGCCAGCAGCGCCACGCAGCGGGAGTATCCCTTCCATGCAGCCTCGTGCGCCGCTGTGTTGCCGTGCTGGAATAATAATAGCAATATCATGAACTACAAACAAAACTGCTCATATGACATAGATGGAATCATCAGTTTTGGAAAATGGAAAGTTAAATTATTCACGGCAGGTGCTTCGTGTGACCAAAAAATCCCTTGCTTGGCATTCCCAAAGATGTTTATAGAAGTTGTTTCTTACATTCGTGAAAAGTATAAATTGTATCACAATGGGCACTTACCACGTTATCCTGTTTGTTGGGGTCGGCGCCGTGTTGCAGCAACAGTTGCACAACCTCGATGTGGCCGTCAGCTGCCGCGCGCTGCAACGCTGTGCATCCATTCTGTAACAACATTTGCAACATGTTACAACCTCGTTAAATGCTACTAAACAACTGCAATGTAATGTAATAATATATTAAATGTAACGAAACATCACGGTTTTTTCAAGAAGAAGCTTACTTCTGCCCACCCATTTTTCGCTTATTTTATAAATCTGATGTCAGCGAGCCAGACACAATTTCAGAGCCTTAAAAATATCTCTCGGACGACAGTCACGCAGACAATCACTTGAATGAGAGTATAGGTAAAATTATATTACTGAAGTTGAGATTCTGGTTACCAGTACCTAATGTAATATCAATCTGAGTTTTATAACCAATCACTTACAGGAAATACTGACACAACACCATCCTTTTTACGCTTATTTTACAAGCAAGCTTATAGGTATGTGCAACAGTACAATGTCCTCTTTCTACGAAAAAAAGGTATAAAAACACCATGAAAATTAATAATTCATGAGCATTAGACATTGACATGACTTATAAATTATCACTTTTATATAGCGAAGACCAATTAGACCGGTGTGAGGGCTTGAGCGATTTTAATTAACGCATTAGTTACTCGAGTTGCGACATTTTCAATAAGTACTCGAGTAACGGCCGGCGGCCATGTTGGGAATCGATAATTTTCCCTCCAACGGAGATACTAGCCCATAGACAAGGTGTGCTCATGTTATAAGGCATAGAGCTTTTAGGGAAGTAATGTAGACTTCTTGGAATAAGAAATGGAAATGGGTATCAATTATTATTTTCATTTTTTTATAAGGCCGTCCTCCATCTATTGTTTGGGTAATAGACGCCTACCATTATAAGGCATAAAAGGCACCTGATTATATAATTAACTTTCAACTAAGTTTTACAAATTCATGAAGTTTCAAAACTTGAAATGATGTGTGACAAAATTTCACCAACTTTGCAAATGCAGTGTATTTAGTGAAAGTACTCTAGTTATACTTATAAACCAGCTGTATTTACTTTTGCTCTGGGCTACAACTATGAAATCAAGCAATTAACTGGCTTATCGATATAACATCTGTGGCGCCAACGCATTTTAATTGATATTAAGGTAGTAACAAGCTTAGATATCTAACGAAAACATTTCTTAATTGATTTTATACTTTCTAAGAACAACCGGGAAGAAAATAGAGATTTATTTTCGCTTCTGGAGGGTATCCGGTAATTAATGGATAACTTTTAAATGTCTTACAGCATAACTTGGCTGTCCTGAAAAAAACACAAAACAAAATAAGTACCTTTGATATCTTTTTCAAAGAAATGTCTAATATTTTTACTACTACTACTTACTATCCTGGTCACTTGACAAAACATGAATGGTAAAACTAAAAATCCATTAATTAGGTAGAGAATAGAATGGCATACTAAGAAAAAAGATAAATTAAATCTACCTTTCATTACGTTTGCAATAAAATCTTTCAAGGTAGCTTTAAAAACATTTATCCTGTCCTTTACTAAGATTTGCAGCTAACGTAATTGGGCACTAACTCGATCTAAGCTGACATTTCAGAGTACCTACTGTAGGCTGAATGAGTCGAATGACTTTATTATACAGTTTTCAAGATGTTGGCCTTATTGTTTAATGAACTAAGTTGAGTTTATTAACCTGTTTTGTTTGTGTTCCTTGGCCTGTAAAATACTAAATGTTAATAATGATAATGCAGATGACGTATTAATCAAGTTTGGGCCCTTATTTGGAGGAGCCCTCGCTTGTAAAAAGCTCCAAAGTGAAGATACCTTTATTCACACAGGGTTTCCTCTTTTGTGAATCCCGTAGCAAGCTACTCTTCCTACATGATAATTCGGGCGTTGCATTTGATAGTTTTTTTAATGCGTACAGTAGGTATTAGATTGAGAATCTCAAATCACTAACGAGTCGACACAAACAATCATAACAGACACTTTCCTGTGCCAGTTAATATTGTTAATGAATTCAGTGAAGCGGTCTCATCTCGCACATTGCAAGCATGGTCTCTGGACCGGTCGTGTCGCTGTTTTTTAACATCCAGACCGTGTATGAATGTCGTCACTGTTTCACGATGATACTCGCTAACTAATCGACTCAATTGTTGGTTTGTGTAAAAAGGATTTGTTTTTAGTTTATTTACTTATTGCATATTAAAAAGACTATGCGTAATCAAGTTGGTTGGAAGTTAATCATATCAGATATCTACACGTACTTAATAAGCTTACATTCTAGTCTTCCGCATACGAACCACGCAAAAGGCAAAGAAAATCTGTGAATAGGCGCATTTAATCATTGAAGTATCATCCGTGTATCAAGTCTGTCACTGCCCTTATTTATGATGCACGTCACACAGAAAAAAGAACGCGCTTGTGTCGCCCTCTGCAATTTAATTACATTCTCGTAAGTTGAAAAATGTAACGACCATTTTGATTGGAAATTATTTTAATGGAGGAACATATTGGAGGTAGATTACTGTGTCGACAGTAGGTAATAACGGGGTTGTGAAAAAGAATTGTTTACCGTAGAAATTGATAGGATCGTTATTTTTTTAAGGATAAGTAGGTACCTACCATGACTTTTGTATGTGACACGTTCTTATCACATTCATGGGTTCTCCGGGCAAGACTAATGTATGGTTGTAGCAGTAGTATGGTAAGACTTAACTAAATACCCTTCAAATTTTTATTTTAACCGATTTCAAACAAAAACGAGGTTCTCAGTTCGACCTGTGTGTATGGATATACATCCATACGCACAAACGTATGTTTGTGCGCAATTATCTCGCGGTTGGCTAAACCGTGGGATGCTTCGGCACGAATGGGCCGGCTCGACCGGAGTGATGCCACGACCTCACAGAAAACCGACGTGAAGCAACGGTTACGTTGTGTTTCGTCGTGTGAGTGAGGTTATCGGAGGCCCAATTACCCTCCCCTTCCCCAATCTCCCCAATTCCTGAATCCCCAACGATCCTTAAACTCCGAAATCCCCAAAAGGCCGGTAACGCACTTGTAACGCCTCTGGTGATCCAGGTGTTCGTCATCAGGTGATCCGTCTGCTCGTTTCCCGGTTTTTGCCATAAAAAAATGCGGTTTTCAGAAAACTGTTTGATAGACTTAGGAGAAGGTTTTATTTATTTCTTTAATTTATTGTAGGTATACTACACAAATAAATTATAGGATAGCATCAACAATCACTTGTTTCACTTGCGTAGGGCCATTTCTTACAGACAACCTTTGGATGGGGCAGTAATAGGATTTTGATATGGTCGTCAAGTGTACAATATTTCATAACTGTATAAAATATTATACATACTATACAAATAATTAAGTCTTAGTATATTAATTAACCGACTTCAAAACAAGAGGGTGTTGAAGTAGGCTTTTTTAAACGTCGTTTATAAAATTATTTTTGTGTTGTAGTTTGAGATAATAGATTGTTCCTCGAAAATCGTATAACCTTCATTCATTCAATCAGCAGGATTTACTGGGAAATACTGAATTGTCTGTTTGATATTCATATAAAACACCCAGTCCTTATAATACACTACGATACTTCACACATTGCCTTCGCTTCGGTATAAACCGGTGTAATCCTGTAGTCATGTTTATTCGCTTCACAAGGGAATAAATATGTAACTCTACATTTAATTACATACCTAAGCAAAATTATTGTAACATATAAATCTCCTTACAAGTATTTTATTGCTTCTTCCTATTTTAAGGAATCTTTAATCATGTCCTGCGCCAGCGCCGCTCGAGTGGCCGTCGGCGCAATAGTTGACAGTTTATAATATACAACGTATTAATATTCATTATAAGCATTAATCAAACATAAATCATCATCGTCTTACACCAGATACTCAATATTATCGTTACCGCTTTGCTCTCGTTTATGGCTTTTTTTATTTGTAATGTGTTACCCTTGACCGCTATCTATCTTATCAGCTACATTCTATTTGGAGTCCTCCACAACTAGAAGCAGACTCTAAGTATAAAACTTATAATCAAAGGGTGTAGGCTAGATGCGTTTCTCACATTAATGTTAACTTTAAAGTAACTGGAGCTGATTAGAAAGGACAAAGATAGAGTTTCAATGGCATTCGTGCATGTTTCATGGAAATTGCGAACTACGCCACGATCACCCATAGTCGGACGGTTTATTTAGTTCAGTGAGCAGATTACTTGGTTTTATTGCATTTTCTATTAGTCTAACTCGTAAATGGTTTGTTAATGCGATGGTTAAAAGTAATTTACAGCTTATATTGTTTCCACAAGGCGCGACTATGACCAGACTTCGAATTATTCGCTATTAAGTAATAGCTCCTTTATTTATTCCACCAGGAAGTTCCCAACTCAATAAAAACATTCTTAGTAAAAATATATTATAATTTATTTCCATAGAAATATGTTTTTCCTGCAAGTCATCGACGCAGGCGCATGGTAATGATCAAGCAATCATGATGCGGCGACGGAGATGGCCACAAAGTCATCAAACACCGTTACAGAATGGCGACAATCATGCAACATACATTATTTGCTAAGAAATATGCAGTGCTTAGAGAAATAATGTAAGTAAATGTCGTGACAAAAATCAACATCCAAACGAATAGAAATATGTGTTGTATTCTTACAACACATATTTCTATTCGTAGATGATAACGTTCGAAGATGATCACGTTATTCTTAACGTTATTCACGTTATTCTTAACGTGATCATCTTTTTTGAATCGAAACGGGTCATTTCGATTCAGTCCGGCTAGCATCATTTTCATCTGTTAACTACATCCTATCATAGACCATGTAAACATGAACTTTGTGCCTTGCAACAATAAGATTAACATTACCGACTGCACAAAAATGTAGCTACTTATAATTTTTTCCTAATTTAACCTATTATTACCGCCCATTTGGTCCTCGACCAGGGGTTACTTAGTATTTAAAAGTGACTCTGAGAGTTATAGTTTATGCTGACGGGGAGGAGCCGTCCTCTTGTGAAGTGGTTTGCTTCTCTCTGTTTTATT